AATTGTACTTCTATATGTGTTATTTCAATTTTTTTTTTTTTTCAATTCTAATGCTTACATTTCTCAACGGTGTTCTTTGCTTTCCAAACGCTGTGTAGTTTTTTTTTTTTAACGCTCATTAATATTATATTTTATGCATGTCAGTTTCAGGAACACAGTGTAGCACTGATTACGACTGCAACTTCAGAGTAACGGATTGTCTGGGCAGCAGTACGGGGTTTCCAATTTATTTTGAAGGCACTGGTACCCAGTAATCTCTATATTAAGATCGTATGATTATTTAATTTATATCAGCGTGTCCAGATGCAAAAGTTTCATAATTAACAATTGGAATTATAAATTCGATGTTTCATCTTAACTAAGTTGTAAAAAAGAAAAAATATTGAAAAATTTAGGATCTTCATGACATAAGCAGACAATGCCTTCAGCTGGAAAAGAACTAAATTCGTGGCATGTCGAATTTTTTTTAATGGAAAAGTATTTTTTTTAAAGGGGATTCGAGACTTTGGTATGAAACAATAAGATAATGCATCCTTAAATATTAGAAATTATCTCGAACTGAAAAAAAAACTATCCATTAATCTTTTGAGTTAAATACTATGGGTATAATAATAATGTTTATGGAACACTTAATGTGCACATGGCGTGCCATTTGCTGGCTTACTAATCTACGAAGAGTAGTACATTATCTTTGCTGTTTTGTTTCCAGCCGTTTGTATCATTTTTGTGTAGCTTCAACGACAGGCTGATAGTGGACAAGCCATCAGTTTACAGGTGTAACGGGGGAAGCGCTACTAGTATAGGCAGGTGTGAAGAAGTTGTTGGCAGTAAGTGTCTTTATAAGTTTTCCTACATCATACTTCACCTCCCATTCTGACCGAAATAATTGTCTCTGTTTAATAATTGCTTCATGTTCGACATCTGGTATTGTGGCGTAAATGGTGCAAATGTCGAGTTCAGATTCGGAGAAAAGATTAAGTGAGACCACTCTCATGTTTATTGGTGTCGGGTTAACTTAATTAAAATGGGTAACAGGAATAGTCCGTCATAAAAAGTTAGAGAGGAGACTGTTTTGGGAGTCTAACAGCAGGACTTTATGCAGTGCAGTTTTCGTGCTCAAAACAGTTGTTGTCCCCTTTTTACATGAATGGTCATCGGTTTAGTTTTACACACTCGTATGCGCCCTTTATAAGTGCATCGGTGCGCCCTTGTTCCTGTCCGTAGATAGACAATGTGTTATCTGGCGTTTGGAACTGGACTGCAGACTGAAGTTAAATTCAGAAATACTTTCGAAAGCAGGATAAATATCATGAAGGGTGGGCGGGCATTGTTCTAGATTGTGTCTGAATAATTTGTGCTGTGAAATAATTATGCTTCAGGATCTATAACCACACAAAGATAAATAAATTGGCAAAATAACTTGCGACTGAGAAAAGTATATTATTTTATATTGGTTTTTGGATGCTAAATTATTTGTTTGTTGTTGTAAAATTGTTATTAATTGATAATGTATGAATCTACAACATAACTAACTTTTTCAATTTATTAATCTTTTTTTTTTTTTCTTTCAGTTCCACCAGCGTCAAGCGTCAGCTACCGGGGTATAGTTCTCCCTGTAGCACTCCAGCGTGACCTTTGGAGGACACTGTTATTCCCGAGGGCCCCATATATCACAGTAAATCCGTTCGATCCCCAGACCTTCTACTCTCTTTACCTTTTGGGCGACCTAATCCCCGTATGAGTATGAGAAGAGGGTGCCCTCTGCCGGCCAGGTCGCCGTTAAAACGGGGAGGTTGTAAAACATTAATCGCTGACAATGTCCTTTACATTTTAATGTGGCTGTGACTTCAATCTTTAAATACCACGTAAGGAAGAGGACAGTATGTTACTCGTATGGTGGAATGGAAAGGGACTCATTTATTACTGCTCTACCTGACAGATTTATTTGGTGAAAAGAAATAATATTACAATGTAATTCTGTATCTATGATAATTTTATTAAGAATTAAATGTATATATTGCGATAGCAATTACAAGCCATCTAATCTACCTATTACGATACATAAACACATTTAAATACATAAAAGGGGCATCAAACATCACCTGATATGTCCACATATATAATTTCAATAACAATATATTAAATTCAATTAGATGAATAAAATTTAACAGTATGACCACCAAGTGGTTTATTTTATCTACTGTGACAGGTCCGTAGCCGTGGGAAACGGGGAGGGGGTTCGAATGAAAAGGTCCGCTCCCCGTAAAATTTGAACTACACTGTACGTACACGTAGGTTTCGTGGTCTAAGGTACATTATTTCTAAAAAATATCCTCCTCCTTTCAAATTGCTGGCTACGGGCCTGTTTGACATAACTGGTGAGAAGCAATAATGAAAAGGTGAGGGGAAAATATTGTATCATAAGGCAGGCGTTCAAGAACAGGTCCTACAATTCCTGTGCACATTTTTATAACTTTGTTTTTGTGGCACAATTGTGGCATAATAGTACACCCACAGTGTCCGTGTCTATTCGGTGAAAATGGCAGATTGTTACTTAAAAAAATAGAAAAAATACCGTAACAATAGTTTAATGGTCGTATCAATCAAACCAAGGGAAATTGTCTTTAATATTCTATTAATTTTATCGTAAACAAAATATACAGAATTCCGCTCATAAATATTTGTAGATGTTTCATAAATAATTATTCAAAATTCACCATGATATTAAGTCCAATATATCAAGTTTAACCAGGCTAACGAGGTCCGAGGCCCTTTTAAGAACTAAAAAAGAAGATTGAAATCAGTCCGCCCTAGAGGTCAAAGTTCAACCAACCATGTAATAGACAAAAGTAGCATGGCTATAAGTCGCTCTGTTTATCAAAATCTTGTGGTTTTAAAGTCGAGAGAATGTACACTGTAGTTGTAGATCGTATCGCTTTTGTCTTAAAACTACACCACAGAGAGGCAAAGATGCGCGGTCACGTTTTTTTTTTTCTTTTTTCGCTGCAGTAATTTCCCATATACATATGTTCCTTTTTATGTTTTATGTTATGTAAGCCCCATCAAAACTATGCTGATATTTTAGCTTTCCTATGTTAACATTTTTTCTGCCAAACGGATTATACATGTATTATTAAAATCAAACTGAAGCACACCCTTTTACACCACGGTGATTTTTTATGTAATCAAAGTAATGGATGAGTATATCTCTCCTCAAGCACAGCCTAGATAATCTCTTGATACAAGAAGTTATGTCGCATCTCATTTTACAAAAAAAAAAAATCTGATGTGAATGACCATTTTAACTTGTCCTGATGCCTGCAAACATACTTTGTAAATCAAATTTGTCGATCAAATAAGGAAAACAAAGAAACCAGAGCAATATTTTTCATGTAAGTGTACCGACCGGATCGCCTTGTGGTCTGAGTTTCCGCATCCAGAGCGGGAAGACGCCCGCCCAGGGACATACCAGTCCTTAATAAACGGTACCTGGTGTCTCCCTGCTTGGCCCTCAGCACTTAGGGGTTAAACCAGGGGTTAAGTTATTGTCCTCTCAGAGAAAGATGCTGTTCCTTCGCTAGCTTTCAGCGCCTCATACGGCCTCATCCAGCTCGGCTGGATCCCTCATGGAGGCGAGAGTCTGTATCCTGGGCCAAAAACGACCAGGATGCGTGCGATGTAATAACGCGCTGAGACGCATATGTGAAGTGCAATAAATAAGAAGTAAACTTTATCTTTTAATTAAATTTAATTAAAGTGGCTGAACTGAACGGTGCATGACTGATGAAACTGAACACACTGCGGTGAACTGGGGGTTAATTATTTTAGATATAGTTCGCATCGCGTTCCTTAAAATGGTTCTAAGTTCACGCATATGAGAGATAAAATCAAGCGCATACGTGTGTTGATTAAAATTTCCATCACAGTGACTTCAAATTACCACAGCCCAAATAGAAAAGCTATTACTGAGAAAATTGGCGGGTTGCCAACATGACCTTCGCACAAAACGGAGCAACCGTGAAGGGTCAGTAAAGATTCAGGCGTTTGACTGATAAGGAAAGTTAATGGCTGGTGGTATCTAATTTAGTTTGCGGACGCTACTGATATAGAACCAAGTAACTCATTATTCATACATGTATATACATGTACATCCACAATCTGCCTACCACGGATTATCAAGATACTATCATATTCGAATCTGAGATCTGAGGTTTGATTTCAAGTCCTGAATACCTGGACATCCTTAAATTTGGATTCAAACAAGGCTAACAGAAAATTTCGACACTCGCTGTTTACCATACTCTAAAATCCAACTCGTGTTGGTCCCCAGCCATACAAGACATACATATATCATCTTTATACTGGAGATCAATAATGCCATAAAAAGACAATACTTAGCGTGGTCGTTTACTCTACACACGGGCGTAAGTTTGGCGCTGGATCAGCTAAGGACAGTATAGTTACGTTGAACGGTTTTGACAAAAAAATGTGTTCAAATGAATCGCCGTATAACCCCTAAGATGGGCGATAAGCGCAAATGTAATGGGCAGTAAGTTGAGGTCAACGTGAATTTCACAACAGGGAATGCATTTTAAAAATGATCTAAATTGTATGATTTACATAATTACATGCACATACGTTTTCATAAAGACAATTTTTGTTATGGGCTACATGCGCGTGAGAACCATGTATTTGTCTTTATTAGTTTGATATACCAATTTCTTTTCACTTATCAAATTCAAAATTCTAAATTGGATTCACAATAATTAACATATATCCTCTTTTTAATAACGTCTACGGTTACGGCACGGTTACCTGGTCAGTCTTATACGTGGCACAACCTGCGGGCTTTACGTAGCTTAATAGAGCACATGTTTCCTTAATTATGCTAATTATCATTCCCTTTTGTTTGATCAGATAGTAGGGCGTATGTTAATTTCTACAGAGATGGTGCATGTTCATAAGCACGGTATTTCCTGGTAATGAACGCCTTGCTGTCAATATCTGTTGACCGGACTATAAAAGAGAGTGCGGTTCTCTCGGTTCTCGCAGTTCTACCTCTGAACACGTTGGCGTTGCCCTAGGTGCAGGAAAACGACGTCGCCTGTTACAACAGTTGTTCAAAATGGGTAAGTATGAACTTTTCCATTGTTTTATTTTCCAGTATTTAAGCCTAGGTTACAATTTCCAGGGGCGCCGCACGATTAAACCGTATAAGATTTTCCGTATCTTTTTTTTTTTTACATCGCAAGTAGCTATGGGCTACGGCGAGTAAGTTTACGTTATGTGCGGGTGCCGTGCCGTTCCTCCGATAGGACTTGGGGTGGTAGGTTTGTCAGTTGAAAAATTATTGAACGTAGCCCTTTCAATCTCAGTGCGGTAGCGGGACGCCTTCCGTGCGGCTTTTTTTACCCATGTGGTCAGATAAGAGAAAATCCCAATTTCAAATTTATGCAAGTGAATTACATTAAGTATAAAACATCTTTACCGGCGCTAGTTTTAGCTTGACCAAATTGTGGAGGCTGCAGAGGTTGTGAAACCGCACAGACGCCGCACTTAACGGGATTTACGGAAAGTATACGCGACTTCGTATGACAATTCTAATCGTGCTTTAGTCCAAGTTTAAAGCCTTGCTCACAACCGGGCGATCGAATTTTAGTATCGTATGTCCCCTACAAATTTTGGGTCCAGTGGACGCCGGGGGGGGGGGGGGTTTGTAGAGGTAGAGGAAACGCCGCACTCCTGCCGGGCGCTCGATTGTGTGTGTGTGTGTGTGTGTGTGTGTGTGTGTGTGTGTGTGTGTTAAAAGGATTTCCAACTGACCATCAGAATGGCATGAACGGAGCATTTCCTTCAGAAACGTGCCCAACTAATGATTTCTTCGTCAAAACACAACTTTTTTACATGCTGTTGGTATATAAATAAAATGCGTTATTAAATAAGAAGTTTGTAACAGTTGGATTTCGCGACGCCCGCATATACGCAGTGAGGAAAGTGTTTATGTGCACCTATTGTTAACCATATTTCTTATGATTTCAGCTACAGCGGTATTCAATGACTGTACTCTTACGGGTCAACCCTATGCTAACGTCAGCGAGGCTTGCAATGGAGGGATTTGTACCTACAATCCTCTCTTCTTACTCTTTACTGCCTCGGCGTTGCGCTGTCTTTGTCCCACGGGTCAAATACCAGAATATACAGATATTAACAATGTGACGTGTAGAACGAGTAAGTAAACTTTCTTTTTTTACCATCCATTAATATTTAGAAACAAAAAGCATTTTTTAAACTTTTGGAGATAATTGTTTACTGTGAAGCGGCACAGGAGACCCGTGAGAATTTTTAGCTGTTTTTACGCGGATTCAAATCAGAGTCATGCTTTTAAGTATTTACTATATTTTGCTGAATTTATTTATTTATTTATTTATATTTTTCATCATTAATTTTTTTCGTTGACAAGGTTTCTCAAACTCACGTACCCATCTTGATGAAATGTTCAAGGTAGACAGAACTGATCAAAATTTCATCTGAATTGCTGTCTGTTTTTCATTTAAATTTATTTTAATCTGATTCAATTCAATTCGATTGGAATCAAGCCAATTATATTTCATTTCAATTTTATTTTATTTTATTTGCTTTTCCAATGATCTCTAGTATAATAAGAAAAAATCCACTTTTGATTTCGTGTATTACAGTTGCTGGAACGCAGTGTCGATCGGACTTTGACTGTAACTCGAGGACAAGAGATTGTCTGGGTATCAGCATGGGCAACCCGACCTATTTTGAAGGCACCGGAACTCAACCACCATTCTCTGCGGATTTGACAACATTCTTGTCTGTAAGTATCATTTTATTTTAATTGTTAAGGTTATAATGACAACCACAACCAACGGATAATGACCGATAATAAAAATAATAATAATTATAATAATTATAATTATAATGACGATGATGATGATGATAAGTTCACAATTTTATTTTTTTTTCATTTAGAAGTATACAGTATTTGTGCATTCTGTGTGATTTTTCTGCCTAGAATAAACATGATATGCATTTTATCGCTTTTTATTGCTTATGCAACAGATACAATTTGCTATGGAAATCATAAATTCATTAATTATCTTAACTTACTAACTAACAACTAACTAAGGCCGCATTCACATCGAGTTGAGCCATGCCTCCCCATGCGTCGTCCCTGCAAGGGTACAGTCATTAAATCTTGGCTCCATTGGGACGACACATGGGGAGGCGTGTGAGAGGCAGAGAGACTTTTAAGAGATTAGGCGGTTTTCCTTTTATGTACGTCCGCCATATTTGGCTTTGTAGAGCCATGGCTCAACTCCATGTGAATGCGGCCTTAGTTAGTTGTGAAAAGTACGGAATTTTGACATACAGACGTCGTAAATGGTAAAACTGGAAAGCGCTTTTGATAGTGAAAGAAGAAAACATTCACGCAGGGAATACGCCCCAAGTCTGTGTTAAAAAATGCAATTAAATTATCTTAATTATTCTAAATTATTTGATACCGAAACAGTGAGATTACATGTACACAAACTTAAATTCCATGTATAATCTCTAAGATAATCTAGAGCTACAATAAGATACCCAGTACTTAAGTTACTGATATGCTAATTCAGCATTGTGCTTTGGTAGATAAATACCAAGCAAAAGATCATTACTGTTTTTCTTTTGCTTCCAGCCATTTGTAACAATTTTATGTGGCTTCAACGACAGGCTGATTCTTGACACAACCCCGTTCTACACGTGTTCGGGCGGGAGCACTACAGCCATAGGCTCTTGTGTGGAAGTCAGTGGAAGTAAGTATATTTACTGGTGAACATATCATCAGACATTAGCTGATAGATTGCAATCAGAGAGTTTTATTTTAAATTTAGAATACTGTCAATTGCAGGGTACAGTATCCTTTACCAACGGTAGATGCATTGTATTATAGGGAAATTTTCAAAAAGCCAGAGAATGAAATGACTGTCTATTTATCTAAAGACATATCTATGAATATCTTGTGAAAAGTCAATCTGTCGCCATAGTAGAAGGTAAGGATACAGTGGGTTAATCTTCCTCTACGCAACCGTATCTGATGTGAATGTTTTGTTCTGACGTGGAGGTGAAAATTGGGGAATTTTTGAAGTCAAACAATCATGCTTCTGTTTATTTGGACCAATTTTCGTAATAAAGAAAGAAGAGAGTGAGAGGCTGTCAGGACAGTAAAATATATTTAAAGTAGATGAAGCTTGCTCTTGTGGGTCTAACGTTTTTCTTTCTCTAAACTGAAAAAAGTGAAGAATACATGACGGGCACAGAAATGAATAAATGGACACTTTGTTAACCCTCTGTAAATAAGATTGGCTGACCAATGATAATTAATTTTCCGTTCGTTGCATATCAATCGATGCTCTGTATATTGACAGTCAACCTATAAGATTATTCGTTAATTCGTGGGTTAATCTATTTAATTATTTATCATTTGTTTCAGTTCCACCGGAGACGACTGTCAGCGTCAATGGCACTGTCTATCCACAGGCAATCAGCCGAGACCTGTTCAGAACGCTGCTCTTCCCAATCGCATCGGGAACATTTACATCGGGAATTCCACTGACCAACTATTTCCTCAACACTTTGACCAGCCTTATCCCGTTTTAAACAGGGCGCCCTCTTCCGGGTGGCAGGTAAAAGAGGCATGGAGATTTATGAAAACAGTAATCGCCGAACATGTATTTTTACATAATGTGGGTGTGACTTCAATCCTATAAAACCACGCAGAAAGAGGGCAGTGTGTCACTCGTCCGCTGACCAATGGACTGGAAATGGACTGATATATATGACTGCTGTGCTTGACAGATATAAGTTAGATGTATATTTATTTGATGATAAGTAGCTTTGAGCAAAAATGAGGGGAAAATTCTGCCAACTGACATTCAATCACCTCAGAAACAGCTCATCTAATAAACCCTATTTTATATACATGTGCTTTAGTAACCCCTCCCCCCCCCCCAACACACACACACACACACACACACACATTCCTTGGATGTGTCAGTTTGCACCGAGTAGCATTTACGTCATACTTAATATATATATTCATTTATTTATTCACATATCTCCTTGCATTTCTGACCAAAAATTAGATAACATTCCAAAGAAATTGCAAAATTGCAAATAAGAAGTTTATTGTCCTTCACATGACCTGAGCTCGAGCCAACCGCTATGTCAAATATTTTCTCCGATCCGTCACCTCAAATCCTTCACATTCATTTTTGTTCTTTACCTCCATGTGGTTACCGTTGTCCTAGAACACCTTGATATTTATCGGGTTTAATAAATATATGTATTTATGCGAGAAGGACATCCAGTTCACATACAGTGCAATCTGCAGTTGATACATGTAATTTAGTCTGCGAACTATTAGCATTTAAAATGAACCATCATTATCTTCAATAGCATGTGGTTAGTTTTCGCCACTGATTAGAGCTGCATATCAACACAGAGTTTAAGGAAGTAGAGTATGCTATTTAATTTGCATAATTATGTGATTAACATAATTACATAATTCTTGTACAGAAGTGCACGGGTGCACTTTAGGGACATCTTTTTCGTCCTTTTCCGCTTCCTTAAATGAAAAAGCGACAAAAGTACCGTCAGCATTTTAGAAAATAAAGTATCGGCAGATTTGAAATTGCTAGCTTTTGTCTTGTTGTCTCTTTACTCATATATATTGTTTTTTTTGTTTGTTTGTTTGTTTTTTGTTTTTTTTGGGGGGGGAGTGTTAATAAGTACATCATCCAATGCGTTACCTTGTACCTTTACACCTTTCCAGTTGTAGTCGAGTGTGAAATGGAAAACAGTTACATTTTTGTAAAAAAGAACGTTTATTATTAAATTCATTGTATCTGATAAAGCAGTGATATAAGTGGGTCAGAAAATTACTGTTAAGCTTACTGCTGAACTGTTTGATGATACATGTATATGCACTTTCTTTGTATTCTGAAAATATAAAACTTAAATCAACAGCCATTACAGACTTTTGTTGGACCAGCATCGAAGATTCTTTCTATTTTTCTTTCTTTGTTTGTTTGTTTAAGGAGAGGGAGGGGCTTTGTTATCAACTTTTTTATATTTAGTGAAGCATTCTCAGCGTATTTGTCAAATGAAAACTCTAGAGACTCCCTGGAATCTCTAATAACTAACATCATTTTAGAACCACGTCTAAGTCTCACATCCGAGCAAGGCGTGACGTCACTTTTTCACTTTCCTTTTTTTTTCTTTTACATTTCATAACACACGCACATACATGTTAACCATCACCCCCGTGTCCCTTTAAAGCATATTTGACAACAGGCACCTACAATATTGTAGCACACAGACAGTTTACATTTATGGCATAACAGGGTTCTAACAACATCCAGATGGTTTTACGCGCCCTTTCGATGGCAAGGTGTTAATTTCTTCTTCCATTATGGTCAGCGGCACAATTACCTGGGCCCCGTAACTCAAAAGCATTGCGTATGGCAAATACCGATATCACACAGAGGCTACAATGTATTATATGGGGCGAGTATGGGCGAGTTATGGAATCGAGACGCTTGCGCTCGGTCGGTCGCAATGAGCGATGCTTTCGAGTTACAGGGCCCTGGTCAGTCCTATACGTGGCTCAACCTGCTTGATTTACGTAGCTTAATAGAGCCCGCTTCCTAAATTATGTTAATAATCATTCCCTTTCGTTTGATCAGATAGTAGGGCGTATGGTAATTTATACAGAGACGGTGCATGTTTATAAGCACGGTATTTCCTACTAACGAACGTCTATGATCATTATCTGAGGCACGGGCTTTATAAGAGACCGCGCAGACCTGCCTCTGGACACCTCGCCGTTCCCCTTGGTTCAAGAAAACGACTTTTCCTGATACAACTGTTATTCAACATGGGTAAGTACGAACATTTCCATTTTCGCAGGATTTAGTTCATCTTTAAGACAGAGTGTGTATACATTTCATCTTTTAACAGTTTCATTATTTTAATTTCGATAAAGGTGGTTGTGGCGCTAGCGTTGTTGAATTTCTCTTTTTAATTTTCATTCCATTTTAGACATATTGTAGCTCTTTTTCCAGTCTCTTAAGTAACTTTATGTACTCCTGTTTTCATGTGTTTTATATAAAAGTTTTGCCCGATATTGGTTTAAAAACAAATTGCGCTTTTGCATTATTTATCATCAGTGAGCCATACCTGAATATCATATACTTGATATGGACTATTTTTTAAAACATTAAAACGTGAACCTATTGTTAACCATGTTTCTCATGATTTCAGCTACTGCGGTATTCAATGAGTGTACTCTTACGGGTCAACCCTATGCTAACGTCAGCGAGGCTTGCAATGGAGGGGTCTGTACCTACAGTCCTCTCTTCTTACTCTTTACTGCCTCGGCGTTGCGCTGCCTTTGTCCCTCGGGTCTAATACCAGAATATACAGATATTAACAATGTGACGTGTAGACCGAGTAAGTAAACTTTCTTATTTTTTTCTAACCGTTAATACGACCGTATTTAGAAAATAGAATCCATAAGTTTTCAAATATTACAGATAATGGTACCCATCTAGAGGCACGGGAGAGCCGAGGGACTTCTTGGCTGTTTTACACGGACTAAAATCGGAGTCATGCTTATATTGTATTATATTATATTTTAGTACCTACTATGTTTTATTATTGTTCCTTTGAAATTCGGATGCAACACAAATACCCAGGGTTGCTTTTGTTCTCACAAGAAGATAATGTATATCAAGCATTGGGATGACGAAATTTGAAAAAAAAAAATCACCTAAGCATGATTCAAGGATTTTTTTTTTTAAGTTTATTAAATTGTAACAGAATAATTCCGAGTGCCAGGAATGGGGCTCGAAGGAAAACTGGTTCGCGGGTACTCTTGTCATTATTTCATTTTTCATTTGTGGTTCGTTCGTTTGTTCGTACAAGTTGTATCTCAAATTATTTGACACATTTTTGATAAAAGGTTCAAAAGGGCAGAAAAACACCCCGATTGGAATGAAATGATGAACATTTCAACTGAATTTCGGTCTCTTCACTTCACTTCGCTTCACTTCACGTCACTTCACTTAAACTGTAACTCAACTTAACTCAATTAAATTCAATTTTACTTACGGTCTCTGCTCTCCGAGTGCTCACTAGCTTATTGAGAATAATCTGTATTTGATTTTGTGTATTTCAGTTTCTGGAACTCAGTGTCGATCGGACTTTGACTGTAACTCGAGGACAACAGATTGTCTGGGTATCAGTATGGGCAACCCGACCTATTTTGAAGGCACCGGTATTCAATCACCATATTCTGCGGATTTGGCTACATTCTTGTCTGTAAGTATTCTCACACTCACTATTTGAAGCGTTATAGGTTGTAACAAAGACCACAGCCTACGGGTCATAATAGATAATCAAGGGTGGATCCAGGATTTAAAGGGGGAGGGTCCGCGGATGCGAAGCCGCTGAATACCCCCTAAAATTTTTGGGAATTTAGAGGGCGAACGATGCCATTTGGTACTGATTAGAACTATGATTCAGCTAGTAAAAATTCTAATTACAATAGGGGACCAGAAATCGAAAGGGGGGGGGAGATCAGGACCCCCTGAACCCCCCTCTAAATCCGACACTGATAATAATAATAAGAAGAATTCAAAGTTGCTATCAATTTTAAGCCATACATTGTACAAATTTTTTGTAAATAATGTTACGTTACACATTAAATATAGACAAAATGTGAGGGCGAATTTTTGGTGTAAATTTGAAGTAGTTAATTAGCATGAGAGCAGTTTGCCATTTCATTTTCTTTTTTATTTAAAAGTACACACATGTATGTGCATTCTATGTGATTTTTTTTTCTGTCTAGAGTAAATATTATGTGCATTTCTTTATCGACACAGGTTTATTCGACAGATACACAATTAACTTTGGAAATTATAGATTCAGTGTTTTATCTTAGTCGTGAAATGTACATGATATTGAAATGTTGGCACAATAATGACAATACTGGAGAATGCTTTTAGTAAGAAAATAACTCATACATTCACGCTCCGAGTACGCCCCAAGTCTGTGTTAATATAACGCAATTGAAATATTGGTAACGAAACAGAGAGATTACACGTACACAAACTTTAACTCTATGTATAATCTCTAAGATAATCTAGAGCTACAGTACTCAGTACTTAAGTTCCTGATATGCTAATTCAGTATTGTACTTTTGTAGGTAAATACTAAGCAAAATATCATTACTGAGTTTCTTTTGCTTCCAGCCTGTTGTATCAATTTTATGTGGCTTCAACGACAGGCTGATTGTTGACACAACCCGTATTTACCAATGTCAGGGCGGGAGCCTTACGGCCATTGGCTCGTGTGAGGACGTCGGTGGAAGTAAGTGTTTATTGGTGAATATATCACGTGGTATATCAGAAACTGGATTGCGATCAGAGGGAGTAATGTTAAATTTAAAAATACTTTCAATGTCATGAGAAGGTTTTCTATGTACGTGGTGAAATCTGGAAATTCTTTGTGAGTGAAGTAATAATGCCTCTGTTTATACGGATCAATGTCCCAAATTATCAAAGAATAAAATAGGGGGGCTTTAGGACAGTAAAATATGTCTTAAGTAGATGAAACGTGCTCCTGTAGGTATAACGTATTCATGCCTCTAATTAAAACAAGAGAGCGCGAAGGTTAAGGTCGCTAAAATTTGTAAATGAGAGGCTAATATAAACCCTACTTGTTTTTCCACGATAATAAAGTAAATGGGAAAGCTTAGGATGCCAGAAACCTGTGTACTGGTATCGCTTGAAATAGAGCTGTTCGTCAGGAACAGGAAAAAAATCAATCATCTAAAGTTGGCTTTTTCACCTTTGGCAAAGCGGCCTTTTGATCACACGCTGTTGAAAGTTGCAATATACATGCATCTAAATATAAAAAAATTGACTTCGGTTTTCTCCGACGAGGCAACAATAAATTGCTTAAGTACAGAAATGAACAAATAGACAATTAAATGAGACAATTACGTTACTAAAGAATTGGCTTATAAATGATAATTATCCAACTCTTTGTTAAACGATTGCTATCAATCGATAGAATATTAACACGGACCCTTATACGTGACTCATTATTTTCTGGGATAAATTTATTCAATTCACTTATCATTTGTTTCAGTTCCGCCTACTTCAACAATCTCTACTGAAACCGCTCCTCAGGCTCTCCGCCGTGACCTGTTCAGAATTCTATTATTCCCACGGGCCACAGGCACGGTAACAAACGGTAATCCAGTCAGCTACTATTTCCTCAACACTTTGAGCAGCCTAATCCCCTTTTAAACGGGGCGCCCTTTTCAGGGTAGCAGGCCGTTAAAACGTGGAGATTGAAAAACATTTATCGCGGACAGTGCCTGTGACTTCAATTTGATAATCCCACATAGGAAGAGGACAATGTGGTACTCGTATGGTGGCTGGTGGACTGTAAATGGACTGATTTATTTCTGCTGTGCTTGACAGATAGATGTATATAGTTCTTTATATTTGGTGATAAGACTTTTTTGAGAAAAAATGAGGGGAAAATTCTGCCAACTCACATTCAACCACCCCTGAAACCCCTTAACCAACTAACCCTATTTTGTGTACTTTCGTAACCCCCTCTCCCCAATCCCTGGATGTTATCGTAAATTTACATTTGATTATTCATTCTGCAATCCATTATCATTTCAAATAAACCACCATGGCCTTCAGCGTCATGTGGTTATTTCTCGTCATTGGGTGGTGGATGTAGGGATTAAATGTGCTTATCTTCGCAGAGTTTAAGGAAATAGAGTGTGTTATTTGATTTGCATAATTACATTGTTAAAGTTAACGCATGCTGATTTTTATAGTGGTTTACATGTGCATTTAAGAGGTATAAATTTCGCCCTTTTCGTTTCCTACGTCGTCGAAAAGCGACAAAAGTATCTGTAGCATTTTAGAAAATAAAGTATCGACAGACAAGTTTTGTCTAGTTGTCTTTTACACCTTTTTAAGGAGTGCCAGTAAACTAGTGCATGATTCACAGTGTTATCAATGAAGTGAACAAACAGTTACATTTTTGTAAAAGAAAAAAACGTTCGTTATCAAATGCCTAATAGCTGATAAAATGCTATACATAATTATAATAAAAACAACAATAATAATAATAATTTATTTCAGCTAATAATGTTACGCGCAAACATTCATAGCTGTCTATGCTACTTCTACATGTAATTCTACTAGAGTAATGTAAAAAAAGAAAAAAATAGTAATATGAAATAACTATGTCAAAAAAAACTTTGTTTAGCTTGCTGCTGAACTGTTTGATGATATGCATCGTCTTTGCACTATATCATTAACGGGACAAAACATCTCAATCTCGCAAAAACGTCTCTACTACAGACTATATATTAATCGGCTGCCTTCTAACCCCAGTCAAATCTTCTATGCGGCAGTGTCACTTCAAAATTTTGATTTTTTGTTTTCTTTACTTCTCGCATTTTTGATATCCAGTCAAAAGAATATATATGTCATGTATGGCTAAGACTCAGCTTAAGTTGGATTCTATAAGCAACCTTTTAACCTGAATCTTTAGTGGTAAGTTCTTTCAACAACAGTTAAATATCAAATTATCACATCATGCATTTCGGTTAAGAATACAGCAGTTGAAATTATCTTAAATCTTTTAACCAAGTTTGAATCCAAAATTAGTGATGTCCACATTTTACCGACTTAAATCGGTTCTGAAATCTCTGAGTTGAAAACCATACTATCTTAAAAATCCTTGTCAGTTAGATCACGAATATATATGCATGAATAATGCATAGCTTGGTCCTATATTATTGGTCCTATATAATTAGACACTACTGGCCATGTACTTTCTTTATCAGTCAAACGCTCCTAATCCATTACTGACCCCGACACCGCTGTGTCCACCGCTATTGGTGCAGCAGGACTTCCGCTTGGCCTGCGGGTCCTGTCGCCTGTCGCGAATCCCCTTCTTTTGGCAACGTCGCACCTCTTCGTTGGTCAACTTGGCAGCCCGCCAATTTTCTCCGTACTCGTCTTTCTGTGTGGGCTCTGACATCTTGAAGGCACTGTAATGGCAAAGTAATGAATTCACGGACCGTATGTATCTGAATCTATAACACTACAGGTTGTTTGATTTTATCTCAGCTTTTTGTGAAATAAGAACTTTTTAAGGAGCTCAGTGACAAATACCAAATACAAGTGACCCCCATTAACTAGATACCCAACGTCAGGGTACAGTACAGTCATTTAAGAGAATGTCCTCCTTCCTTAATGTTTGGCCCATATCGACACACTTGAAAAAAGAAAAATCCAGCAGTTTGTCTGTCCCGGTACATTTGTTAACAGACCGTCTACGCAAGTTTGTCATACTACTTAAATGAGATGCGACATAACCTACCTTTCAGGCTGCTTGATAAAAGCAGGTCTTCATTACGATATCAATACGATAAGATGATGCAACCTGACGCCGCCTTTTAAAAATTTAGATTTAAGATAAATGAAATTGCATTGATATAAATGAAGCAACGCCGACTTCTGTTCATATTCTGTGTTAGCCGAGTGGACGCAAAATGACTCAGTATTGTACAGACTGCCGTGCCCTTTGAAGGAAAAATAAGGAATGCATTGTTTATATCGATCAATCTTCTGGTGAGGTCAACCCGCTTTTAAACCGTTTTGTGGCCAAATATGTTAAACATTCCAGTGCCGGAGGTCGGAATCAAATTGACATTTTTGACTCTTGCATTGATGTTTTCAGGACTTATCTGGAAAAATTCGTTTTCTTTGCATGAAGAGCAACATGCGCAGTCAGGCTGTTATAAATTTATATATATTTTGACACGTAGTCGGTTCAGTATGGATACGTAGGGTTAAGATTGGTTTTATTTATCTAATCCTTTTAATATGAAAAAATAGCAGTATATCCATGAGGTACTTATTTAAATATAACAAGACTAACACATTAGCATGCTTTTTGATGGGTATTGCATAATGTTACACATGGGAAATTGTCCCATTTAAGACCACAATTTGGTCCAGTGTTAAAAAAAGACTAAAAAAAGAGAGCACCCTTGTTTGCATATTCATCGTGTAATTCCAAACAGGCGCCGTCTAAAATAAGCCTATCTCAATCTTAAAACCACAAGATCGTGATCAACCGGGCGACATGGCCATTCTACTTTCGTCTACATGTATTACATGGGGTGTGGATTTTTTTTTAGCTTCTCAGTCGGATAGATTGATAAAAACATCAGCCATCTAGTAGTTCAAGAAACATCTTCGGAAAGCTATATCACACGTCTGGTCTTTGTAATTCCGTTATCTTCGTGCTTTCAACAAAGTGCACTAGAAATTAAAGGGGTACTTTCAGGCAAATTGAGTGATTTGCCACTCACTTTAGCTCAAATACGGTATCCTTGTTATTTCACTAGCACTCGTTGGGTTATCTTCTTATAACGCGCCCTGTTTCTCATGATAAAAGATGCCGCTTAAATGTGATAAATGTTTTCTACAATTACCTTTTATAATAGGCCGTGATGCTTATAATGAACATCTCTTTCTTGCCTGGGTCATTCTACTTGATTGAAGTGTCAGTGCGACTACCTCATGCCATATATTTTATTTAGACAAGGCGCAGCAATGGCACCTCTAACTTCTTACTGTTTCTGACGTATTTTGGCGCACTCCCAGTATAATCCATCTTCATTAAGGGATTTTCTGGCAACATCTATCAACTAAATGATATGAACCCACTAGAAGTGCCTTTGGTATCAAAAACAATATTGCTATGGGGCATCTATCATTTTAGAAAATGGGGCAATAAATAAAATAAAAAGAAAGGGAGTAAAAATAAAAAAAGTGCTCATTGGATAGAGAAGAACACAGCTCTCAATATCCCTTAAATTTTCGACATCACATATTTCTTTGACATCCAGATTCAATATGCTGAATTATAATTATTGTTGAAAGTCTTTGAACTCACTGCATGCGTGTGCCTGTAGATGAGACTTTTTTCCACGACTGCTGTAGAGGTTGTTTGCGCATGTCTGAGGTTCGACCACAGCACGTGATCAAAATAAGTTGGAATATTCTTTCGAGTCACATCACTCCTTAGCCAGCCTCAATATCATTTTCTCAACAACAAAAATGGCAGATTCAGATACCTCCCCCCCCCCTCCCATCCTTTCTTGGCATCATGATAGTTGTAACATCGATTTAGAAAGCAAAGAAAAAAGGCAACCAAAAGAAAAAAGACGTATTACTACCATGACGTTGCACTAATCAACAGCGTAATTCATTTCGACAAGAAATCTGATAAAATTAAAGCAGCAACAATTTATTTGCATAGCATTTTCTTTTTTTCGGAGCGGCATGATTAAGAAAATCGTTTTGTTTGCATGCCGATGTGACACTACATCGTGTATCCTACAGTCACGATTAGATAAAAATGACAAAGATACCAGTATCAATAAAATACATCAAACTGACACAATTGACATCAGGGAAGCATTGAACCACACTGGGCTGCTACTTGTAGAAGTAATTCATATACTGTACATCATAACTCTTCAAAATGCTTTTATTTCATGAGTTCGGTCACGTGTGGAGATCACAGAACCAATCTAAATTAGTAAGGCATTCTGTTTAATCTTTTACACAAATAGGGAACTGGCCGGTCCCTGGTCCCACTCCCACGGGTGGTGCCCCAACCGGTCCCCCCGGGCACTGGCACGTGGGCTGTCCACAGCCGGGCGGGGAGGTCACCACTGTCCTTGGCTCGCAATGGTATCCGGGATCACAGGTGATAAGCTGGGGAAAGATAATAAACATATTAATTCATAAACTAATTAATGAGTCTAAATAAATAAATAAATAAATCAGGAAATGTCAACCGATGTGATAAATTAGTACAGTTGCATACATGTACCTGAAATAAGATGATTCAAACCTAAGCTTAAGATATTAGCAAATAAATGTATTTGATAAATATCCTCGGAAACTGCTCGCGATATTGGAAGAAAGGCAGGTAATAAATAGGGTTAAAACATCATTAACGTAATAACAATCAGTCTTTTTCTCTACTTTTAAAACTGCAAAACAAAAACAGTTTCAAACTCACATCTGATATCCGTCGGGAAGGACGGGTGCAATACGTACCGCGCTGCAGTCTACAGTCGGACCTGGGGGACCAGGACACGGGTCGCGCACACATTCCAGTTTCTTGGCCACTGGCTGGGGCACACACGTGCAGTCCCTGTTCTTTAAACAACACGGCGGAGGTGCGAACATTTTAGGCTCGCAGTGGTAGCCATCCGAGCATTTGATTAGCTGTAGATAGTATGAAAACAAACTCTATAAATTAAAAATATGTTCCTGTGTGGAGGATCTAAAAAGTATTTATGATACTATCATACAATAAATCTAATAGGCGAAGAATAATGAATAATGGGTTTGAATAATAAATGATAGGAAAATTTACGGCAAAACAAAAACAAAATAATTGGCGACAAAACTATTTAGCCGTAAAAAGATATACATAACCATCGACCAGGATCCAAATGCGCATGTCGCGTTATTTGTAATCTGGACCCTATATTTTTTTATAATAATGTCGCAAAACATTGAGGCCAAAAAAATCGGCATCTTCTTTTGTTCTGTGACATCGAAAGAGAGTAAAGAAGTTTTTTAAACCACCTACGTCCTCACACGGTCTCTGCACTGCTGGTACCGTGTTACACGGGGTAGGGACGCAGGTGGGGGGTGCCATCGTTGGCGTCGGTGGACATCTGCATCCGGGATTCTTATCGCAATTTGGTGGCGGGTTCACCCATGCCGGCTCACAGTGCTGACCCTGGGGACACTGATTAACTAGTACCTGAATAAGGGGGAAATGTTGTGAGTCTAAATGATTCTCGATGCTTAACTCTTTTGAGAAGAAGCCTTCCATTGTACATTGAATCTTCTTATATTATATTATATTATATTATATTATATTATATTATATTATATTATATTATATTATATTATATTATATAATGAGGCTCACCTCTTCACAACGCACAGGTGCAGTAGGTAGTGTCCCACACAAGGGTTTCAGTACACAGGTGGGCGGGGGGACAGGGGGGATGACAGGACACTGACAGCGAGGACCGGATATACAGGTAGGCGTCGGGGTGTACCGCGCAGGTGTGCACTTGTAGTCTGGACCACACGTTTTGTGCTGAAATTAACAACGAAGGAACTGATTATAAAATACAACTAAAATCTCACCAGTATTTTTTCTTTTTTTTTTTTTGTACCTTATTATTTAAAACTGCATGATTGAGAATGGGTCGTAAGTAAGTAAGCAGAGTAGATAATTTTCCTACGAGTCAGAGATCACAGACTGAAAACTGAAATACGGGCAAAGTGTCCCGCCTCGGCCGCCACTTCAATCGCTGGCTCAATTAACAGTTAAACATTTTAAACATGCAATAGGATGTTTGACGGCAGATGGAAATATACAGTTTATACAATATACAGAACATATAGTAAATGCATCGTACGAATTAATAATGACATTTAATACCACTTAATACAAGTAATAAACGTACAGTGTATATGTAACTTACGTTTTCACACGGTTCTGGGTATGGAGTCTCTGTGGAACACTCAGGCAGTGGAATACAGGTGGGGAGAGGAGGGGGTGGACCGGGGGGTGGACAGACACACCTGGGTCCCTTAACACACTGGTCAGCCGGCTGGTAATATGCAGGGTCACAGTAGTACCCAGCATCACAATTTGTCACCTGGTTAATGGAAAAGAAATTATTGTGTTTTTAGGCCACTACAGGTTCAAAACGTGAATAAGGTGAAACGTTTGATATAAATTACTATAGATTNGGGGGGTGGACAGACACACCTGGGTCCCTTAACACACTGGTCAGCCGGCTGGTAATATGCAGGGTCACAGTAGTACCCAGCATCACAATTTGTCACCTGGTTAATGGAAAAGAAATTATTGTGTTTTTAGGCCACTACAGGTTCAAAACGTGAATAAGGTGAAACGTTTGATATAAATTACTATAGATTTTAAAGGCACTACATGTTGTATTATACAACTTAAAGCATTATTTGTTTTTCAGTATTGTGGAAATACTGGAGAAATGTGACATTTCATCTACAATTATCATGCAAAGATTTGTATCAAGAAATGTGCTTATATCATTAATGTTCCCCATTCTTTCTCCCTCTATAACTTCTCACGGAAGGTAAACATTGACATCAAAGTTTTTCTAGATATTTGTCTGTCCGTTGTTTGACATCACATCGAACGTGCACTATACTTGTATATATTCCATTAATAAAAAAAAATAACAGACAAATTTGTAAATACTGCTTTGAACCCAGCTTACACGTTCACACGGAACAGGACTTGGGGTTTGTGTTGGACACTCCGGTAGAGGAATACAGGTCGGGAGAGGAGGACCCACAGGGGGGCGGGGACAGACACATCCGGGCTTTTTGTCACACACGGGAGGCGGCTGGTACCATGGCGGGTCGCAGTAATATCCAGCAGAACACGTAGTTACCTGTAAAAAAAAAAGAAAAAAAATTCTAAATGGTATGGATGACTGCATGGTTATCATCGATGGAATCACAGTTAGTAAAGTGCCAAGTTGAAATCTTTTGTTAATCGTATCATTAAAAATGTTTTGCAAGAAAGGCAGTACATTTAAGTATATAAGTGGGTAAAAAATGAGGAAATTAGTGTAATACAGTATCGGCAATCCTCTGTGACCTTTCAGGCTAAAATGTCTAAATCTCAGTCTGAGATGGTCTAAAATGGGGCTACGAGACTAAAAACGTGCGATCATCAGCGTGAGTTAGGACTTATCTCTTTGCAGTAATGGTGAATATGCAACGAATAGTGTTATAAAAAGCAGAACAATAGATACACGCAAAACAAATACGAGTGTATATACGTACTTTTTTGTAAAACATAATAATTCTACAGAACAGAGAAAATATCCAAAAATATCCCTAGATGAATTCTATCGGCTTTTATACCGATACATTGGCACAACGCAGTCGCTGGTCTGGTACCAAACCCAGCTAAATTTCTTTTCATTATTGTAAGCTAAGCGTTAGATGTTGGGCTATCTTGGATGGTTCGATCAGTTTGTCGATTTTACTTTAACTATGCAAGTGAATGACCTCTGACCTCTGGTTTCGTGTACTCACGATTTCGCAGCGTTGTCGGCCTGGCATAGGAGACATGTTACAGGGGGGTAGAGGGACGCAGGTTGGGAGGGGGTCGGGCGCAGGCAGACTGGGACACACACAGCCGGGCTTTTTTATGCACTCCCGGGGCTGGGTGTAAAAGTTCGGTTCGCATTTGAATCCACTTTGGCAATTGGTCACCTGAAAAAGAACCGTGATCGATGAAATACATTGTCTCATTAATCCCATACTTTTATAAGATACAGGTAAACATGTAGTGAAAACCGAATTCATTTCTTGTAGATGGTCACCTGCTTGAAAAAGGGGAATATCAAAGCCAGAAAGACATGCAAAATGCGAGTAGTAAATAATACCCTCAACACTTTGCTTCTGAAAAATATATCTAGCCATTTCACGTGTTATTAAAAGCATATCGGCTGGGAAAAGGGATAAGATAATGTTCATATGCATACATACAAGTGATTGCGTAGGAATAGTAATCACACATGTATACAGTATATTCGTAGATGGCAAGTGAATAAATGAACTGATATACTTGTTCGTAGATTCTTACCTTTCGATAAACATCATATAAAATCAGCTGTAGGGGATTACATTTTATGTCCACAAATTTCGCGTCATTAGAGCGATATTAGTAAAATGATGACTCATATTTAACTACATAAATTAGCTATATGAGCTATATGGGTGCCACTGCACTAGGGAACACGCTCCACATAAGGAGTCGAACAATTCTCAATACACGTATATCAATCTGAACCATACGTGCTTTGTACGGTAGGATAGGTACGTACTGTGTCGTATGTACATACACGTAGCAGAACCAGAACGTGCTTACTTGTGAACAGCGCACTGTTTTTGCCGCTCTAACTTCACACTCGGGGTCTCTAACACATCCCCCTACAGGATGTGCGGGTAACTCACATCTCTGGGACGGAGAAGGCTGGAAGGTGATGTCACAGTGGTACCCGGGACCGCAACTGTGGCCCTAGAAATAAAATAGACAACTTCATTCGTGAGTGCTCTGTCACACCCGGCGCAATCAGGAGTCGCAACAAACGCAATCAATGCAAGTTTAGCGTAGGTACCATTCTTTTTATGTTGGACGCTTAAAATGTGTGGAAAGACTTTGATAGTGTACGTACCTGGTTATTTTAATTAAACATATTTCTCGCTGTTGAGGTGAACTGCCTTTTGGTATGCACCAAACGCAGTATTCCACACGTAATGCAGGCTAAGATGCCCAGACTGTTACAGTGCTGTCGGGGTATTTTCAAAATATTTTCATAATGTTGAAATGGTATGTGAAATGGTATGTTTAAATGGTATGTTGTCAAAGAAACTATTAGCATGTCATGTGCGCATTTTGAAAAGCACTCTGTCCTTTTACGCATGCTACGACNCGACTTTTTTTTTTTTTTTTTTTTTAGGTTTTCCATTCACACAACATCACAGGTGCCGACTTAATATCATAAAAAAAAAGAAATATTTAAAGTCAAACCACACCATTTGTGTAGAATGTAATGACTAAATGTATACTGAATACTTTTGTCGTCATATACATTAGGCTCATACGACTGTCCAGTGGCATCATATACCTTACCTGACTACAGAGAACTTTAAAACCTCCTTGCACGCACCCTGACTGCCCAGAAGCTGCTGTGAAAAGTACCTGTAAATGAAGAAGGGCAAAGAAGCACTTAAAATATCGTAGTAAAATGTTCCTTCATATACGATGTAATATCAGATGCAACATCCTGCATATTCGTGTCATATACAAGTCATTAATAAATATTACCTCTTTTTGATTCTAAAGAATAATATCACTCACAAAAGGCGTGTGCGTTTTGTGCTAACACCCTCACCCCTTTAAAAAAAAGCCTTGCGTCCGTTCGTAACTTAAACATTATTATGTATTCATATGATTTCGATTGATAACTATGGCCGACACTGGGCCAAATCAACACACCCAAACAAGGACACATAAGATTGACTCCCACATAAAATGATAATGACGGCATTTGGCTTGTAAATTCTAAAAAATCAAATCTGTCCTAGATGAACTTATCGTAAAACAAACAGATTCTTTTAAATGAAATATTCACTCACCGTTAAAATTGCATATAATAAAGTTGAAGGAGTACCCGCTTTCATCATTTTCTTTGCGTCTTCGAGACACAGGTCCAATGTCTCGTGCTGCCGTTTGAGGGATTTTATTTATACAATTTTGCAACACCGTGCAATGCATCTTAACTCCAATTGAATTCCCATTTAAGGACAAAACAAGGCGTTTACACTCTTTAAAATGGATCTTTGATGGTCACAGCTGGAGCGCAAGCTTAATTTAAGACATAGATCTGTCTCTTTTTATGTCAATTTAACCTGCTACAATGTACCGAAAATTGATATGTCCAATTCAGCACTTGCACGCGCAAAGACTTCTTCACCCTATCTGCATTTATTCATCTAGGAAATGTATTTCGGGGTAAAAATTACTGATCCAAAAGTTTTCTTACTTAAAGTGTCTTCAAAGGGATTAACTTTCAAACAGCGTGTTGTCTTTGGTTAATTTAAACTCTTCCATTAAATGGTACACCACGAAAAAAATGTTGTTTAAATGCCTGTATAAATGACACTTAATATCAGTCCTAACCTACTTTAGGTGGTGCGTGAGAATGTAATTGTTCGAAAATTCCATGCACAGACACACATTATGTCAAGAATAGATCGACGAAGAAGATGCACGTTTTTGTAGGAGTCCTGTATCCTTGATGTTAAACAAGATGAAACGAGCGTGGCGAAAATTTAGAAGAAAACCGTATTAGGAAAAATGAGAAAAAGTCGGTTTCTTATATGTTATAGTTGTTATTTATAGCTATACAACTTGTTTATAGAGAACATCATATTTCAAATCAAAGCCATTACGTGGGGGTTAGACACGACTAAATGTTTACTTCATCTGACTTCCTTAATTAAATGCTATATTTTCGTGGACAGCTTTATTTCATACATCACTGCGGTCACATTAGCGATATATTGTACTCAAGATAAAAAGTACTTTTTATTTTTTTCAGCTGCTTCCCTGCAATATCACCGCCCATCAAGCCTGCCCTGTGATAACCTGTAAATCCATTAAAAATTTTTTCTGCTCTGTTTCTAAAGCAACGGTGTAGACATTTTTAGATGGGTTTTCACTTTGCTAACTTCATTATTAATTAAGCCTATTTTCTCGTTTCCACCCTGTTTAAATACAGACACCGCTAGATGATTTTTACTGAGAGTTTTTAATGATCCCGACGCGAACAGCTGTACCCTTTTGTTTTCGCCTTACATGCACATCCTCAATGGCAAGCCTATCCGTCCGAAAGGTTTCATGTTCCTAACTCACCTAACTCCAATGGCGTAAGGGTACAATGTAAAAAAGTAGAATCAACCACGTCCCGAGGAAAAAAAAACATTCCGAAGTGCCCGTTCATGACAACTTAATCAGTCCCCAAGGTTTCATGTTCCCAACTCCAATGGTCTAAGGGTATATAGCAGAAATTACGTTTTGAAAAGAGAATCAACCATCCCAGCGAAGGCCACACCCAATGTCACAAAAAAAAAACAGAAGGGCCCATACACATCCACAAAGCCAGATTTTTCTATTCCCAAAGCCTTACGCTCCTAAGTTTAATGGTCTAAAGGTAGATAGCAGAGATCACAATGTAAAAAAAGATTCAACTGCCCCCAGGACCAAGTCCCGAGTCAAAACATTCTGAAGTGCCCTTCCACATCCCAAATCATACTGTAGCTACTTTTCATGTTCCTTATTCAACTGGCAGAGACAATGGGTAGATAGTTGAAAATATGAAGTAAAAATTAGACTCGACCACCCCTAGGGACGATCACACCCAAGTCACATAAAATTTCGAAGAGCCTTTGCAAATTCCTCATGATCATTTTATTAATCTTCGACATATCAAGTTCCTATATGGTGATATTGGAAGTAACAATGTGAGATAGATTATGCATGTTTATCATTGTCCACCCCAGCGGTAGCCGGACCAATGACAGCGTACCTAGCCGAGGTAACCCCGTACCCATTCCAATTCTACCTCTAAGACCCCATTTCCAGAGATTAGATCGATCTACTGTCGATCGACCTAACTCCCTGGGGGTTCACGCTAAATAGCTGTCAGCCGGGCGGACACGAAAGTTAATTACCCCCTTACAGCTTGTAGTAGGCGGGACGGACATTTAAGCCGGATTATCTGACAGTAATCTAGTGAGACTCCCCGCGGGGATAGATCGATCTAAAAGCTCTGGGAATACAGCCTTAAGCACTTCACACCATTTCAGTGACTTAGAAAAACCCTAGTTGTAAAATGCGTTTTGGTTGCAAAATGCATTTTTACGATTTTCTTTAGTTGCAAAAAGCGTTGCAGTTGCAAAATGCGGCTCTTCTAAACAATTTTCATCAGTACAATTCGCTATATTTTGTTTATGATAAGATCAACTATAAAATAAAGGCATTTTTTCCTGGATTTATTTCACAGACTATTGTAACAGTAATTTGATTATTTTAATTAATTAAAATTTGAAAGCTACAATGTGTAAGTTATCAGGTAGTAAACGTCCACGTTCTTGATATGGTTTACCAGCAACAAATTTATAAAAGAAAACATATCACTTGTTCTTGAACGCTGGGACTTCGAGACCTTTCCATTCTTTTCCATTTCCGGAACTTACAGATGTGTCTAATGTCTAATTCGATAATTTCATTTTAAAGGGAAAACTGCTTAGGAAAATTAATCAATATATGTTTTGATTCGTGGCATTACAACATTGAAGCTGTCCTCCATCATAGTAGTATCACACTTAGTTTTTTAAGTAATGAGAAGAAAGAAATTTTTTCTAATTTCGTCTTTCCAAGCGATTCTGGCACCATGTATTAATGACGTTTTTCAAGAACGATTCCAACAACCAGAAACTAGAAAACACTCATTTTCGCTACCAAAAACGCTCGAAAAACTAAACTTCTATATGGCGCCAGAATCGTTTTTAAAAAACGAAACTAGAAACTAAACTACAACAACTTCAGTGCCCGTATGGCGGTTGGATGATGCGGGAGGAGGTGGTGGTTCTAATTATCCACGCATCTAGGGCTTGGCCCAGCTGGCCCAGGTGGTGGACAGCGACATCCGGGTTTTCTGATACAACTCCGTCGCCCAAGCAACATCCTTGGCTCACAATGTTGTCCTGGGGGGCAGCGGACCCTCTGGAAATGGAAATACAGGCTATGACAGATTATGCTTATTTAATTGTATTCGACATTTCATTGGGTGAGAATTAAAATGCTATAATCTCTATGCTTTAATCTCTTTTTTTCTTCTTCTTTCTTTGGAGATATTGGTATTATTGAAAGGGTGGGAATATGTTCCTGTGTAGTTTAATGTTACAGCAGGATTGACAGAACTGTGTATTAGATACAGTGTAATTAGGGTATTTCTGTGTTCGTTCTGGGGTAGTATTACATACTTTAACTGCCAATATTTTTTTTAAAAAATTGAGATGGAGCTTTATAGTTTTCGCGAGGTGATTTGACTATAATTTCCGCTAGTTTTCTAATTTTCCTCTTTGAGAAAAAAAATCTTCGATCTCTCCAGAACCACACTATTTCAAACTGCATATACATATATTGCATCTCTTTATAATTGCTAGTTTACTTATAAATCGAGAAAGAGTGACGTAAAGCTGTGAATTTGTAGGCTCAAAACTTATTTTAATCCAGGGATGATATGTAATAATGAACGCAATTGCAGTCACACTTTACCAGTATGCAATGTGTCGGTTTTAAAACAGGGGTAAGAAGACAGGACCACATGCATATGATCAATATATCAGACTATTTCAGTTTGAAAAGGATTGCATCTAAACTAAAGGCAAAATTTAAACCATACCACAGCACAGGATACGGGATGGCCAGGCGGACTCATATCACACAGTGGATCTTCCACGCACTCCGGAATGGGTCCCTGGGGGCCAGGCGGAGGGCATCTACATCCGGGCCTCTTTATACAGGAAGGGCGGGATGTTATCATGGCCGGCTCACAGTGTTCCCCTCTGTCACATGAGATAAGCTGGAAGAGGCACGGTATAATAGTTAATAGTTGAATTCCGCAACAACAGTGATTGGGGACATTTGTATTCAGGAGCACGCTGGTGTAATTTCAAGTCAAAACGTTTAATGATTATCAGATTGATAAGCAAATACATTGCAAACCTGGTGTAATACATGACAGAAATGTATTTAACCAGCGCCTGCAAAAAGTCGATAAGATTAAGATTTATTCTTCATTTAAAAGTGAACATTCTATCCAAAGTCCCGCGTCGTAGGCTATTAAAACTAGTTGGTTCACCATATTTCCTCCTTATAAGTTATATAGCTTCGTCACGTTTCTATCATTTAATTCATCTTTTCATAATTATTTTTAAAATCTTCAATAAAAAATCCCAACCACACCTCACTGCAAGGTACAGGATAACCCGGTCGACTCATAGCACACAGTGGATCCCTCACGCACCTCGGAGTGGGTCCCCGTGGGCCAGGCGGAGGACATCTACATCCTGGCTTCTTTATACAGGAGGGGCGGGATGTTATCATGGCTGGTTCACAGTGTTCCCCTCTGTCACATGAGATAAGCTGGAAGAGACACGGTATACTACTAGATCCTACTACATAGTTGAATTATGACAACAATGATTGGGGCCATTCGTATTCAGGAGTACCCTAGTTTCAAGTCAATACGTTTGTTGATGAAAAGAAAGATAAGCATTTAAAACACATTGCAAATAGGAACAATCTGCTGTAATACACGACAAAATGTATTTCATCAGCGCCTGCAAAAAAAACGATAAAATGAAGATTTATTCTGCATTTGAAAGTGAACAGTCTATCCAAAGTCGAATGCTATTAAAACTACATAGTTGGTTCACCATATTTCCTCCTTTATATAACTTCGTCACGTTTCTATCATTTACTTCATATTTTCAGAATTATTTTAAAATCTCCAACAGAAAAAAAACCCAACCACACCTCACTGCAAGGTACAGGATGACCCGGTGGACTCATAGCACACAGTGGATCCCTCACGCACCTCGGAGTGGGTCCCCGTGGGCCAGGCGGAGGACATCTACATCCTGGCTTCTTTATACAGGAGGGGCGGGATGCTATCATGGCTGGTTCACAGTGTTCCCCTCTGTCACATGAGATAAGCTGGAAGAGGCACGGTATACTAGTAAATAGTAGAATTCAGCAACAACAGTGATTGGGGACAGTCGCAGGGGCGGATTAAGGCCGTTTTCTGGGTCTTCCAGAAGACGGTCAGTTTTTCAAGGATACATTTACGAGTATCTGTATTTTTTCTGTCGGAAGAAAGTCAAAAAAGTAAGATGTATCAACTAAGATCATATGGAGGACCGTCACAAAATATCTCTGGATCCGCCCCTGAGTCGTATTCAGGAGAACGCTAGTGTAATTTCAAGTCAAAATGTTTGATGATTATCAGATAGATAAGCAATTAAAAACACATTGCAAATAGGAAACAATTTGATGTAATACACGACAAAATGTATTTCATCAGCGCCTGCAAAAAAAACGATAGAATTAAGATTTATTCTGCATTTGAAAGTGAACAGTCTATCCAAAGTCCCGTGTCGTAGGCTATTAAAACTACATTGTTGGTTCACCATATTTCCTCCTTTATATAGCTTCGTTACGTTTCTATCATTTACTTCATATTTTCAGAATTATTTTAAAATCTCCAACAGAAAAAATCCTAACCACACCTCACTGCAAGGCACAGGATGGCCTGGTGGACTCATAGAACACAGTGGATCTTCCACGCACTCCGGAATGGGTCCCTGGGGGCCAGGCGGAGGGCATCTACATCCGGGCCTCTTTATACAGGAAGGGCGGGATGTTATCATGGCCGGCTCACAGTGTTCCCCTCTGTCACATGAGATAAGCTGGAAGAGACACGAAATACTACTAGATTCTACTATATAGTTGAATTATAACAACAATGATTGGGGCCATTCGTATTCAGGAGTACGCTAGTTTCAAGTCAAAACGTTTGTTGATGAAAAGAAAGATAAGCATTTAAAACACATTGCAAATAGGAAACAATCTGATGTAATACACGACAAAATGTATTTCATCAGCGCCTGCAAAAAAAAAACGATAAAATTAAGATTTATTCTGCATTTGAAAGTGAGCAGTCTATACATATTTCCTCTATATATATATAGCTTCGTCACGTTTCTATCATTTACTTCATCTTTTCAGAATTATTCGAAAGCTCCAACAGAAAAATTCCCAACCACACCTCACTGCAAGGTACAGGATGGCCTGGTGGACTCATAGCACACAGTGGATCTTCCACACACTTCGGGGCGGGTCCGTCTGGGCCGGGCGGAGGGCATCTACATCCGGGCTCTTTCAGGCACGTGGGACGTGATGGTATCAAGGCAGGTTCACAGTGGTACCCTGGGTCACATGACATTACCTGGAATAGGCAATTTTTGCGAAGAACTTCTCCTCTCTACTGATTTTTGAAATTCACTCTTTGCAATGTCGTGTACAAATAGAAGAAAAAGCTATGAATTCCATTACAAAATATTTTGCATAAAGTTGTGGACGGTTTTCGATGTAATTATACAGATCGGTCAGAAGTGTGTTAACCTATATTTGCTTAGATTGTGGTGGTGGCCCATCAAAAAATATAAAGATAAATAATGATAATTGAGCTGCCTTGGCGGAGGTCTGCTTTCTGTGAGAAATTAAAATGAAGAAGGTTGGTGTCATGTGAACAGGTCTTTCAATTGGTCTGAATATTAAGTAATCAGACAAGGAGATGCACCAGTAATGACAATTAACCAGTGCCATGCCAATCAATTGCAAATGAGGAAGTGGACGAAGAAAAGAGAAGCAGTTTGCCTACCGTGCTGCAAGCAATAGGAGCTCCTGGGGGTGACATTGAACACATTCTGTTGGGAACACACCGCATCTTCTCTGTCGCATTCACCTTCGTGTTGCACACACAGTCACGTTTCCCGTCACAGCAGAACGAGAGCGTGATGTTTTCAGGCTCACAATGATGCCCGGATGAACATTCAAGAAGCTTCAAATGGAAAATTAATTCGTATTTAAATTCAGTATATCATTCACATAAGAATTATTTTATGTACACTTAGTATTCGGGGGATAGATAATACCTTGACACATCAGAAAGTAAACCGAGTCCCACCATTTACATGTGTATGTTACAGATGTAAGTTCCCTGTGATAATTATCAAAACACGTACATGTAACCAAATAAAAACTATGACCTATTAAACTATTCAAAGGGTCTAATCCAAAAACTACCTAATTTTTATGCATGCAATTTTTCAATTTTTTTTTTTTTTTTTTACCTTTGAAAATACTCAAAGTTGAATGGACTGGATTTTAAACTCATTTTGTCTATGTATCATATACATGTACATGTATTTATTATCTTAATATTTAGCTGTTAATTTTACTGTTGTTAATATTGTGTTTACATTTTTAAAACTGTTTGCAAAGTGTACTTAGCATTTTAATAGGTTTTAGACTTCAAATAATGAGTATTATTCTATACCGTATCACAGGGTACCGCTGTGGTGGACGGACGACAAGTCTCTTTCGTCTTCACACAGACTGGTTTTGGGGTGGGAGTCTCCGGGTAGAAACAAAATGGCAGCCAGCACACAGGGGCTGGGAGGTACAGTCTGGGCTCACAGTGATAGCCAGGGGCACAGCTGACAACCTGTAGGATAAAAAAGAGGATAACAGTAGTAAGTATTTTTTAAATCTATGTCTTTGGGTGTGATGGTTAGTTTAAGGTCATTGACTGATCTTTACAGTCAGCCATCCTTTTTACCCATATAGATATTTACTAGAAGATAATTTTTGTGGCAAAAGTAAAAAGAAAATAGAATCTTATAACAGCAGTCGTTTATTTATTTTTATTGTATTATTTTTTTATCTATTTGTTCATTTATGTTTGATATACAGGCATTTGAATCTGTGGAATAAATGTACATTAAAAGTACATAAAAATCCAATAGACGAACCACTGGGAATTCCAGACCGCTGATATTTCACAAAAAAAAATATTCAGTTTTTTTTTTAATTAACTAAATAAGATCAGAAACATTCTAAATCTTAGTAAATGATATTTTATTCATTAAAACAGTGCCATTAACGCTGATTTCAAGGAAAATTTTGTCACCTTTTCACACACAACCGGTCGCCGAGACCACACACATGGCTGCCCACACTGTATACCAACAGTAACAGGGAAGACAGATATCTGGAAATTTGGGGAAAATAGTGAAAGTGAAAATTTTCCTTTTTTCTCTTACAAAAAAAAACATGAAGACATTAAAACATGTTCAAGCACAACCATCATTTACCCACAGTAGTGCACTTATATATAGCACCAGGCTTCAGAGTACTTGTACTACTTTTTGTACACATACATGTATATAGCACTCTGTATTTAAGCTATTTAACCCCCTTTTTCAACTAAAAAAAATGCTTGTTGTATAATAACTACCAAAAACATGACGAGCAAAACCTATAAACTTGTGGGCAGCAATATGGCATAGGCTGTTTTAGCGCTGAAATGCTTGCATTAAAGATATACATGTATGATACATCAAATATATTATGGCAACAATACCATGGAAAATACATCAATGCAAATTTCTTTGAAAATGCGTATTATAAACAGAATGAACCGATCTCACAAATAAAACTTAATATATAAATGTATATCCACTGTATATTCTTACCACGCAGACGACGAAAAGCAGAGGCTTGATCAAGTCGATCATGCTGCCCCGATTCTACAGAAGTATTAACTTGAACAGCCGTTGAGGCTTTGGTGCATTATATACCGGTTTTAAACACAGTTGAAACGTTCCCAGTTTAATAAACACCATTTTTAATGCCAACAGCCCCTGTCCCTCATGAAATGTACATTCTGTTTACATAATCCACTTCTAAACACATAAAACCGCGTAATTTGCTATTCCATAGGTTGGGCACAATTTTAAGGTTTATTTGGTTCACAAAATCTTTTTTTAATGTAAATGCTGTAAAAATGAGTGCGAAGAAGTTAGTTGCGGCTTGCGCAACTGCTCTAAGATGTGCAGTAAACCATGTAGACACTGGATAAAACGCAAGTTAAAGAGATGGAAAAGGTTAGTACAGTGCACGATTAATCTTCATTGAAAAAACATTAAATAACAGGGATAGTAAATGGAGATGATGCACGTAACGGTTTCCCCTAGTGTCTTCCACACATTAGTAGTACTTTCGTCCTTGTAGTGAGTTCAAAACTAAAATGCAAACTTATTTATAGCTTTTAGATCATCGCGTGAACAGATCTTTTACCTTCCTTAGTTGTTCCATGTTTGAATAAGAGTATCATATCCATTATTTAGAACGTGCAACGTGCCTTTTACTGTGGACTGAATACACTCGCTCCAACTCTTAGTATTTTGCAATAAAATACAAATGTTTACAAATCAATGTGATACGCCAACAGTCGCTTCCTTCATTCACTGGTAGGGCCTACGTGTGAATGCGCATCAATCAAATCAATTGGCCCCTTATGCTGTCTTGTGTTCTTAACCTTTTAATAGTAATACAGACGCAGTTTTGACTGACGTTCGTCTGTTAACATCGCCTGAAAACATTTTAAAAGGAATTATTCATACTTTAACTTATTTATTTATTTATCTATTTATTTTTTTATTTATTTTCATTTAGGCCTATAATTTATTATTTTGTGTGTGTGTGTAGGCCTACCCATTTCACAATCTGTGCAATTTAAGTCGTACATATAGTACGTAGGCCTGTATAACCCTTCCGAAAAACCTAACACTAAAATGTAGGCCTACACTCTGCCCGTATCACTTAATTCATTCTGTGATAGAGTAATCCAGTTAAATATTAAATGCAGCAATACCATATATTGTCACCAAGTCAGATTTAAAGAACAGGGGTGTTAAAAATAGAGTCATTGTATACACAGTATTTGCACAATATAGCTCATATTTCTTCCAACGTTTGAATACTCCCGGTTCGTTGAATATGTATGAGCAATCGATTAATTTGTTTACCTTAGTTACGTAGTGTAAGGTGACCTATTTCAACATGGCGGCGCCCGTTAGTTACTACCTTTGTAGGCAGAGGACAGTTTGCTGGGCCAGTCGGACGCGATGAAATGGAAGTCCATCGTGAGGAAGCTTTGTGCACAGCTGCGCTGATATATGTGTGAGTTACTATATGTATAGATAGTGCGGAATATTTTGAAAGAGAGAAAGAGAGTGTGTGTATGTGTGTGTGTGAGAGAGAGAGAGTGTGTGTGCGTGTGTGTGTGTGTATGTGTGCGTGTGCGTGAGAGAGAGAGAGAGAGAGTGTGTGTGTGTGTGTGTGAGAGAGAGAGAGAGAGAGAGAGAGAGAGAGACGTTATAAGTAGTTATAACGTCTAACTAAGATCACGTACGATTACTAGTAATTATATCACGCTGGTAGGCCTAAGTGTTACCACCAAGGCCAGCCTGAAATCTGTGAAATTCACTTTTTAGCTCAACGAAGGAATTGTGTCAGTGTAGGGCCTACCTTTTTGACTCAACAGTTATAGGTCATATGCTGTAAACAAGCAAATTTTACACGTTCAAGTCTATTCCCCCCCCCTTCCTCGGTCTAAGCAGTACGGCGTCTACCTTACCCTTTATAAACCAAACACCTATCAAAGACAGCTCTCTCCCTGTGTGTGTGTGTGTGTGTGTGTGTGTCTGTGTGTGTGTGTCTGTGTGTGTGTGTGTGTGTGTGTGTGTGTGTCTGTGTCTGTCTGTGTGTGTGTGTGTGTGTGTGTCTTAGAGATTGAAAGAGTGAGAAAGAGAGAGTAATCCCCCCTCATCGTCCAAAAGCAGCATTACATCTACCTTATCCTTTATAAATTAACCACCATTTAAAGCTGGTGCAGCTTGATCCCCTTTTCACACGGAGAATGCTACCGTTTCCTGTATTGCACCAGTTTGAGAGATTAACAACGTACGCTGCAACAAAATGTAAACGCATAAGCCCAAACTGAGTAAAAATGTTATGCTAACCTACATGAACTGTGCTCAAAGTTAAGTATTATTTTTGTGTAATGAAACGCTTGCTTTGCTCAAGTCAGCTGGTTCTGTTCTAATTTGGCCACACATGACCCCCCTCCCCCCAACCCAGGTAAAATAATTTTCTCAAGTGTTAGGTTTTTTACTTTTCCTTTAATGCTCAGAGATATGGGGCTACTCGGTGTCAACGGATAACTGCCCTACAGAAAAGTTGCACTTAAAATTTTGCAAACAAATCCTTGGCCTCCATCAAAACGTATCAAACTATGGTGTATACACTGAACTTGGCCGCCTTCCCCTCTATACCAAAATACAGTTTGCATCTGTCAAACTATGGTGTAAAATTATTCAAATGTCTGATGCTACACTTATGAAACAAGCGTACATACAAGAGATAAATAGTTACAAGTTGCTGACACCCTATGTCCCACCCGCAGTCCACACACTCAGACCAGCTTGTATGTCATGGTCTGAGGGTATCCGAAAAATCCTTTTCACATTTGGCCTTGGTGATGTGTGGCTTAGCCAGTCACCTCCAAAAAACTTCACCACAATTTTCAAACAAAGACAAACTGACCACTTTACCCAAATATGCAATAGCAAACTTCAAGCCAACAGTAAATTATCTCTCTTCCGTATACTTAACCAAAAGTGTGAAAGGGCAACTTATGTTGATAAAATAACAAATTACGACACCTTGTCAACCCTTGCTAAACTACGTCTTAGTGACCATAAACTCCACATCGAAACTGGGCGGCACACCAGGCCAAAAACTGAAAGGTGCGACAGAATCTGTCGCCTGTGCACACAAGGGGTAATTGAGGATGAATACCATTTTATATTCCAATGCCCAATGTACAAAACAGACCGAGTCACCTTTTTCAGTAAAACCTCATTCCTAAAAGCTGATTCAAGGTCACCAGACAGTCAATTATGCCATGTATTTAACAGTGCCAACAAAGATACTTTAGTGTCCCTCTCCAACTTTATAATCAAATCATTCAAGAAAAAAAGTGAAGTGGTTGCTCTGCTTGGTAACTCTTAGCATATCCCTTAAAATGTCAGTGTATGGTCCCACTGTTGTGAGAAGTGACTCGGCAGTGGGACTGAACATGGCACAATATTCATATCTGTGTAACTTATTTACTTATCTGTCTTATGTTATTGTCATTAATCGTAATTATCCATGTCATCAAACTGGCTTTGAACAGCCATGTAAACAGCTATGTAACGGTGGTTTTAAGTTTTTTAAAAACATTCTTTTTGTGTAACATGTATATAGTATGTTTATGGTAAATTTATAATCACACCAAGGTTTATCTCATTGCTTAGATAGAATATTTTATGAGTAATTTTATTAGTACTTATCTTCATTATATAAAGATGGTAATGCACTAACTGTATTGTATCGTCATTTGTATATCATATTGTACAAGGTCATGACAATCTATGTACCAGTACAGAAATAAATTGAATTGAATAAATTGAATTTAATTCCTGATGACTAAAAATGACTAATTTGCCAATATTGTGGGCCTTCAAAATTATTCCAAGCATTTTCCCCTGCCTACGGCCATGATGTCAACTGCTAAGTTCTATGATAAATCAATGAGCGAATTAGATCAAGGGTTAAAATTCTGTTTTATTTTGCCTACGTCGTAACGAGTTAAGCACTTACACTGAACTTACACTCAAAAAAATCCCACACCAGGGATCTAATTATTTCTATATTTTCTGTCCTCCTATAGATAACTGCGAAGCTTTGACAACCAACAAGCAAAAATGGGATCTGCAGCCAGCACAAGCACGAGTGCTGCGATTACTAACAGCGCGGCGAAAACACTGGCCAGATCTTCCGAAGTGTCCGTAAGTGAGAGCAGCATAAAGAGAAAAGAGAAAATCTACAACCAAATCAAGGCTCTCCCTGAGGTACAACTAATGTTTAAGAACATCCAAAAAGCCTCCGAGATGTTGGGTGATCACGGCCGCCATGATTCCCCGGAATACCGAACGGAGATGTTTTCATTCTTAAAGGATAAAGTTTACCATGCGCTCAGAGAATTCAAAAACAACAAACACAGACGTGTCATTGCTCAGCACGCCGCCGACGTGAAATTGCCGGACGCACTTACCAACGTGTACAGAAGCACTTTGCAGAAGTACGGCTTGACGGGACTTACCGAAGTAACATCGATGTCTTCGGTTGAGTTCGACGAACTTTCCACACTTCGGCTATGTTCGTGGACTTATTCCGACTCCAGCTTCGCTTTTTCTGATGGACTGGCAGAGGCTGGTTTTCTGCTCCTTCTGAAAGACGATTTAGTTTCCGCACAAGAAGGCAAACACAATGGCTTAGATCCAGAGGTGATTATTGCCAGTGTGATTGTAATGTTAAAATGCCTGGTAAAAGTATATCTAATGCGAGTGAAAAAGTAAAGATAATGTAAAGCTTGTATAAATTTGTTTTAAAAATATCGACAGCGTTACAGCCATCTGTGTGTTATAGGCCTACTCCTGCTTAATTCTCAACATACATAAAATCATTTCATTGAGAACATGTCTCCGCCATCAATATACCTATCTTTAAACCACGCGCCGTTATGGGTGACGTGAGGCACTGCATTTAAATGATCAAATACACTAAATCGAGCAGAAGACATCTTGTCGTCATTAATATTTTCTAATTACGTAAGAATAGTAAAATCACTTCGATAATTTGCCATATATACCATGCAACATGTGGTATCTTTGTCGTATTACGTTGATGTTTCAGTTTCCTGTGATACAAAATGCCGTGGAGTATAGTATTGGTATCATTCACAACTGTGCCAAGTCGGAAAACGTGAAGCCGTATTTGAGAAAACTGGGCATCATTCCAATACTGACGCCATTTCTGAAAACGGAAAACCAAGGTACAATTATTATTTAACACACTAGGTAATATATTTAAAAATTTGTAAATAAGAAAAAAATGTATTTTTCAAATCTTGTACAGCTTTACTTTTTTACCATTTTGAGATAATATAGACTAATCGACTATCATAGTGAAAAAATGCACTTGCCTTTGTTTCAGCCCTCAAAGCCCAGGTGGTCATGACTTTGGGCTATCTCATAGACAACGACGAAGAAAACGAAATCCTACGCTCGGACGAAACCCTTTTCGAGTTCCTAATCGATCTCCTTGACGACGCTATGAAGAGCGAGAGTCGTCGAAGCAACACGTTCTCTGCCTTCGAACTCACCACTGGCCTGGATGCCTTAGCCCGAAATGAATATAACAGTGCGAAAATTGCCGAAAAGGGGGCGCTACCGCTGCTGACTGAGCTGCTGTCATCGGAGGATGAGGAGGAGAGGAAGGCTGCTGTCAGGGCGCTCTGGCAGCTCTCATTTCTCCCGACGAACAAAGAGAAGATTATGGTAATGCAGTCAAGTGGCAATATTTTGGGATCTTAGAGTAATAATCATGCAATTGATAGACTATTGAGATTTAATAACCATGCAATGGCATTGATAAAGCCTATTGAGACTTCATGGGAATACACCTAATGCCCTTTTTGATTATTTTTTATTTATTTGATCCAAAATGTTTAAAAACACTGGAATTGTTAACTGCTTATCGTTATCTGTAAATCATTCATTTCTTTGTTTTATTTCTTGTTTAGGAAACGTAACTATTCCAAACTGAATTTCGTAGGATTTCTGTTATATCCATAAATAATTTATTTGTTTTAAAGTGGAAAGGCAAAAAAAACCATTGCTGAGTTGATGTAAATTTTATAACAGGAGCTCCCGATCTGTGTTGAGAGACTCCATGAGCTTCGACGCCACACTAACGAAGCTATATCTGCTGCCTCGGAGTCCGTGCTGTGGCAACTGCGCAATAGGGACCATCACAAAGCGGGCGATGGTGGTGAACAGGCTGTAGGACCTACTGGTGAGTCTAGATATTGACCTAAACTGATTCCTTCCTTAGCCCCGTTAAAGTTCAGATGGGCCGATGGGACAGAAATGGCAGTCCTTGCGTTGAAAATCATGTGTCCCATGTGATTGGCACAGGTTAGGGTTAGATGGAAATATCAATTTCTGTGACCAAGATCACCTATACAAACTAAAAGGGAACGGACTTCATTTCCTAATAGTTTTGCATTCCTGTCACATCAGTGTTTAAAAACTATGTGTCTTTATAACAGAAACTTGCTACCCATTTGATTGGGACAGGTTTGGGTTAGCGTGACGTAATTGGCTCAAAATCAAGGACGGGGCCAGTACAAATTAATTGGAACCTGATCTATTTTCACAGGGTACTCACTCGTTCATGTCAATGGCCTGGGCCGCCAAACAATATTATGATACAGGAAAGTATCAAGTGGGGAGGGATGTTGGCACTGAAAGGGGTAAAAGTGTTTTCAGATGTACCGAAACGCAGCGTGAGGCCAAACCGTGTTGGAATGTAGCTTAGCTGAATGGGTTATTTTTGGTGTCGCTATCAAATTTAGAAGTTCCCGTGTCATTTAACAATGCCAACGACAAACAATAAAAGTTTTGATAGTTTTTGACAATGGAAAACATAAAATCAAATAGTACTTCTTTTTCCAGCCGATAAAAATAAGGACAATCGAGAGCAATCTGCAGGAAGTATTAAACTAAACGTCCAACCCAACGATTTGGAAGCGCTAATATGGGGTGAAACGGACGCCAAAGAACACATCATGATAAGCTATAACTGGGCACATCAGGAATTGCTTATTAAGGTAAGCAAAGGACGAATGAGATGGTCATGGCTTGGTGTAATTTCTGTTCACACGCATGCTCGGACCTTAACAGATTTTGGTCGGGATGACGTCACCAGATGTTCCAGACTTTTAGGGTTCTTCTTCGTTGACATTTTTGAAGATGTCTCTGTTATCACCATATCCGATAGATAAGTTTCCATAAATAAAAGTAACCCGGTGGCTGGCAATAGCGTAATGTAGTCGTCTTGTAATGTCAATTTAAGCTTTAGTTTTGTCCAAAAGCACCAATATGTATTGTTCATCAACCACGCCCTTAAAGTACTCATCCATTGTTTATAATCCATTGTTCCCTGGCCTTTCCATTGAATTACACAACATATTGTGCAAGTTGTCTTTAGATGGACAGTATCATGTATTTAATTTCATGCTGTTGTACAGGTACGGGATTACCTGACCCAGTCTGGTTTTAAAGTGTGGATGGACATTAACAACATGTACGGGTCCACGTCCGACGCCATGGCCTCCGCCGTGGAGAACGCTGCCGTGGTGTTAATTAGTATGTCACAGAGGTATAAAGACAGCAAGAATTGTCGCAAAGGTAGGGGCATGTCTGAAAGTGTTGTTGTGAAAAGTGAACTAGCTGTTGATCTCTCTCTCTCTCTCTCTCTCTCTCTCTCTCTCTCTCTCATAGGAGTGAATTCTGTGCCGCATTTTTAAAGTTAAGCTCACCTGTTTCAATAAGATTGCTGTGAAATATAGTGTTGAATCCGGTGCACAAACATCTTCAAATATGCATACTCCACACAATATAAATTTCATTTATTGAGATAAGTTTTACCATAGTTTGTAACTGCATTTTCACAAATATTCAAAAAATGAAAATAAGCATTAATAGATTTTCATCATTATTGTTTTAGTTGTTTACGTTTGAACATAATACTCACCGACTTAAATTACTGATTTTCAGAAGCGGAATATGCGGACGAGATCGACAAGCCGATCATTCCACTTCTAGTTGAAGAGGCCTATAAACCCACAGGTTGGTTGGGAATTCTCGTGGGGAAGGCTCTGTACTACGATATTTCCAGGAAAAGGAATTTTGGACATAAAATGCAAGAGCTTGTGGAAGCGCTGGTAAAGCAGGCTGCTGGGGCGAGAAATGAAAATGCTGCAATATCGCCGCTCACTAGGTCTGTCTCGGTAAGTGCTTGCTCGTTGGTTTGGCGTATGCTGGTTTTATTACCGGCATATTACAAGAATACGACATATTGCCTTGTAGACTACAGCAATATTAAAATTAAGAAAAGGTAACCAAATTTTAGGTGTGGATTTATGAACGTAGTTAAAGCTTCAGTATATAAGTATCACAAATAGTTTTAACGTTAAAACGTTATTAGGATATCGATTGTTCAGTTCGTTTATCAAGTCATATTTTCAATTACTTGCATGTTTGTAAATAATCATAAATAAATCCATTTTCTGGATAGATATATCAACCCAGTAGAATGCCTAAGGGTGGCAGCAAGTTGGACAGTAAACTGTTCTCCGTGGATGTTTGGCTCCGACAAAACAATCTCCAAAGGTGAGTACATGTACATGCAGGACCGACGGAAGATTGTAACGTACTTCACCATGTAAAGGGATAGCAAACTAAAAAGGCAATAGGCAGACGCAGTTTTCAGGATGGAGATGCTGTGTCCATTTTTTCGTAAGCGCAGATCACTTATTATTGCTCATTTCGATTGTTATATTTATTTATTTATTTATTTATTTATTTATTTATTTATTTATTTATTTTTGCTGAGGGGGAGAAGCGCAGACACCATCAACATCTCAAATTGGCTACTCGTAAGTAGGTCTATGTATGTAATTATCTAAGCATATAAAACTTTCATTACTTTATGTTGAATATTCAAAGACCATCATGAACAATATAATGCATGAACCTCTTGTATTTTCAGATGTAGAAAGTTAGCTACTTTGACGGTACCCGACATTGTGTTCTTGAGGCATCTCAAGTCTACTGTAAGTTTTAAAATTATTTTGATATTTTTCCAGTTACAAGCATCCTGGTTGTTAACAGTTATAATGTGTTAATAAAACTTTAATACTGATTTTCACAATCTTTGATAATCCTATGCAGCTGTGAGGCGACAAAAATTATAATTCAATCATCACATGCAAAACAGATATTAGCAGTTCTGGAATCAAAATAACACCATTAATGCAGAATGGAGGGACTATACTTAATGTTTCTTTGTTTGTCTTTGATAGGCGCCGGAGTTTTTCTTCAGGCTTCTGTCAGAAAAACTAGGACTTGAATCTCTGACCGATCTTAGACTTTTCTGTGATGCACTTGACGAACTGTGATAAAAGTAAAATAGGCTTACACGTGGGCAGAGGAATGACCCAACCCACTGCGACAGCCTGTTGAATTTCTTCACATGTTCGCAATGTTGGAGAAGGAAACGAAATATGTGCAATATTTGAGAATCTGTGATCAATGACCAGGGTAAAAGAAAAAAAAAACATTACACGATCCAACAAGAATCAGTAATTTGTATGCAAGTGCATATAGATGAGATTTAGGCCGTTTACTCATCGAGGGATATACGTACGCTATATAATCTGTACCGGTGTAACGAAACTAAGGGTCCGTGTAACAGAAAGTCCGCCCTCCATTTAGTTATAATGGTTAGGGTTAGTCTGACCTAGGTGGGTCAAAATCTAGGGCAAGGCTAACCTGTACAAATGAACGGGAAGCGGACTCTCTATCGTTGGGGGCTCTCTGTCACGTTACAACTGATTCAAGTGTGGAGACAACTTTGCAGCGCCGTAGAGTAAAAAGTGCAAAACACACAGTAATTTTATGTTAAAATGTGGTGCTGTGTCGTTATCAGTTTGTATCAGTTGTATCATCACGTGCCTTCATTTATGTAAACACATTGTAATGTGAGTTCTTGTTACTGTTTGAAATGAATTATGTTGACATAAAATTCTTGTTGCGTGCCTCGTTCATTTACTTTACTGCTCTTGGAACACAACACAAGACACATATCTTCATTTGGTAACGAAGGCGTCATCCCCGTTTCTGAGCCTCATTTCTGTAGCTTTATCATTTTTCGAGAATAGGATACTAACCTATCATCCAACAGTCTTCTTTTCTCAATCGAGATTTGGACATGCTACTTCGGAGTTCTCACATTTAAAAAAAATCAATGCAAAGCAAATTAAGTCACACCAGTTTATCGAAGTCGATGGGCGTTTAAGACGACCGTTACTGTTAGCCCATTGTCAAGAACCGTTTATAACTAATACTAAGGTCAATACTATCTCTGAAATTGCCAATTGCTGAAAATAAAACCAAAGAGCCATTGCGTCAGATGAGACAGGCAGATTGCTATGGTAGCACCTGTCACAAGATTACGAGGATAGGAGGTACCGACCAAACGGCCAGCCCAGTGTGATGTCTTTATGTATAGACAGAATCAGCTACAAAACCCCTGGCCTGGAAACATGATAATGCACCCACTAGAGGCTTATTTCAAGATTAATCCGATCTGTTTTGAAACATACTTATTAGCGTTTTATTTCTGTTTTTTTTTCTGAGCATGACAGCTCAATCTCATGCACTTTTAGTGATTGTGTAGAGAGATACAGCATGGAAACCTGGACAGTTTATTATTTTCTTTTCATATTAACTTGGGTATTTCCTTGGATACATTCTATTTATCTGGAAGATAAAAGCGACATTGTGTATGGCGATGGCACGCAGGCTCACCAAATGCCACGCACTGAAAACCAAATATCAAAATTCATTTCCTTCTTTATGTCGAGTGTTTAAAACTGAGGAGTTTTTTAATATCCTGAATGCCCGTAAGCCGCTGTCAACACCAAATTATGACAGGCGTGGCCCAAGCCTTTCTTATCTTTCTTTATGTGGAAAAGACAATTAAGTCGCCAAGGGAAAAATAGCGCCGCCTGATCTTTGCCAGTAGGGAGCAAAGGTGGCTAGTAAATACAAAAAAGAGAATAGGTGAACAATGTAGGTGCGTTCAAGTGCTATGTCATGTCTTTTGAATTTTTTAAACCGTCCTCACAAAACCTGCTTTATATACATACCCCACTCACTTCTAGTTGTATTTTAAGGAGCGTTCAGACTTAGGCGTAACCGTATTTGGTTTAAAACGTGTAGCTGGATTTTTGGTTTATAACCATAGATTGCTCTGAAACCCAATAGTAAATGAAATTCATCCGAGATAGCCTGTCGGCACCGTGTGGTGTCATAAAGAGATTTAAAAGACTTGCTCAAATCTGCGTTAGGTGACCGAGGCTAAATTGCTAGCAAAGAGGGCGAAACTGTATGCGCCGAAAATGGCAAGAAGTTCGAGAGAGAGGCAGATAAAGAGAGAGACCGAGAGACCTGAGAATGGGCTCAGTACTTTCATTGTCCAGCTCTTCTTAAAATGAAAAAGAGACATTATCTTCCTTTTTAAGTCCCTTTCCTTTCAAACGTCAGTCTATCATTATTTATGACACATCACTGTAATTTGCTCTGACTGGTGATATTTTTTTGGCATATTTAGCTAGAGAATACTTCTTTTCCTATGTGATACAAAATAGATTGCCATCACACATGTGGGGTCAGTGCATCTTTTGAAAATGTTAGTCTGTAATTTCAACTGAAAACTTATCGTTACTTTCCATGGCTGGGTCGAAGAATGCACCAAAGTTTTTTTTTTTTTTTTTTTTTTTTTTTTTTTTTTTTTTTTTGGGGGGGGGGGGAGGAAGACGATGGAAATCAAGTATATAATGACCAGGCCTAGTGGCTGTCGTGCCACTGAGATCCAGTTCAGTTTTAACAATTGGGCCGGTTCTGTGCCATATTCCCAGGGACGAGTTACTAGTACAGCACATTTATCCCGTAAAACAGGACGCCCCATGAGTGCACTACGTCACCTTGTCTGACGCCGTCATTTGTCNTTAGAAATTATAACAAAAAAAAAAACAAAAAAAAAAACTTTTTAGAAAAAAAAAACAGGGACTAACTTTGGATGTAAAAAAAGATTCATTGACCATTGGTAAGTATGGGAAAATTATTGTTTACTCCAGAAAAAATTCATTTTTTGGCCAAAACGAAGAGTTATTATCCCTTTAAAGAGAAGGCCTTAACTTACGTCACAACGACGATTGTATTGGAGACCGTCAAACATGGTTTGCAATCGCTCACACCTATCAAAGTATCCGTGGCTAGGTCCAGTTCGTCATTATGGCTTAGAAAAAAGTTAGCACTGTAGATATCACAACTTCCTTTCGTATACTGAAAGGGAAATTTTCGATTTAATATTATTGCAATTTCTATATGAGGTGACTGCTATGATACTAAGACACAATAGGATTATAATACATAATCTTTACTGTTTTTTTTTTTTTTTTTTTTTTTTTTTTTTTTTGTTTGTTGTTGTTGTTGTTGTTGTTTTTTGTTTGTTTTTTTTTTGTGTGTGTGTGTGTGTGTGTGTGTGTTTTCCTTTTGCTAGCCTCATCTCTAAAAATTGATCATTTATTTTCATTGTATGAAATCATGTAATAAGCATAAGCACAAAAATTGCACACAAGTGCGAATGTACTTGCACACACACACACACACACACACACACGCATTCACGCACGCATTCACGCACACACACTTTCGCTAGCTCGATATTCTATACGAAATGATTTCAATATTCGGCCTACCGCAATTCCGCAGCCAGTGTCTAGTTTTGCCAGGGGTATAGACACAACATACCGCCCGTTTGTGGCGTCATTTTGACTCACGCACCTCGAGTCGTTTCCATAGCCCTCCACATACACTTTGCTGGAAGGATATTTTGTTCTAAAGGACGAGTAGTCGTACGGTTTGAACCAGAATACCATATTTCCAGTCAGACAGGACACGGTGTCTGAAAATGTGAAGAAAATTTATGAATTTGTCAAAGCATCCCTCACCTTACCCCCATCGACCGACAGTAGTACTTCTCCGGCACGTTGCAGTACTTTTGTCGAGAGTGAGATGTTAGGCGAGACTGAAGCTGTCTAATTAACGTCCACAAACGACCACCATCGACCAAGACGTCCAATAACGTCTACAAATGTCCACCAGAATAAAATGGTTGGGAAATCAATATATATCAACCAATTCGGTCATTTTTAGTCCAATTTGTCGGCAAGGATCTCGTTGATATCGACGTTTACACCGAGGTTTAAACTTCCGATCTGGAAATAGGTTCCAGCGAAGAAAAAGGCATTGCAAAATGAGCTTCCCAAGCGCGACTTTTCTGTTGTGTTGGCGGCATCTTGGAGAAAATAAGTGACGTCGTTTTACAAGGTCAGGTAATCAGGATTTATTTAAACAAGAAATAGTAAGGGGCATTTACGGCCGACAAAGTATTTTAACAAGTGAAGACGAATATGACCTTAACTATGCATGCAGAGGGTTAAACCTACAAGCAGAATACGAAATTTCAGCTTCGTTATTTGGACCTTACCGTGCTGGTACCCAAGTAGGTGAAAAAGTTCCGAAATAAAAAAAAATCAGAAAAATATCCACAAGCAATAGAAACCGTTGTGTTTATGACACGCACAATTATCTCATGTTAAACTCACAAACTTCATATGTGGTGACGCAGCATAGTGCTGGCACTTTCAAACCATAGAATTCGAGTTATTTTCCAGCATATCATTATAATAATTATAATACTTACAGCTGCCATTTTGTCCTTCAACCACTGATGTTATAGACAAGGCAAATAAGATCATCAGTACCCACTAGAAAAAAATCAAAATAACGAAATTCAGAAGAGAAAAAACAACTTTGTTTTACGGGAATGGATGATGATGATGATGGCGATGATCAGAGAGAAAGAAATAGAGAGAGAGAGAGGTATACCCACAAATACGGATGCTGATCCCATAGTTCTGCCGATAACGCTTTGAAACCCTTTTCCTCTCCTTTGACTGACGTGTCTCCCTAACATTGATATACCTTTAGTTATGATATATTACAACACGTGTCAGGTTCAGTGAAAAAAAGGGTCAAAAGCAATTGGCATAATTTCATGCACAATGCGGATGTGACAGTGCGCTTAAAGAAATTAGAGTGAAATTATAACAGACACTGAGGATCAGAACATCTTTTCGTGTAAAGGTTTATGGTCAATGCACATCCCGTTAAATGCCAAATAGTTAAAGAGTCTTCTCTCTCTTTCCTTCTCTCTCTCTCTCTCTCTCTCTCTCTCTCACACACACACACACACACACTTATTCTAAGTAAAGTTAAAACATTTTCTGACAAAACTTTGTGTACTTTAATATATGTATGCCTTAAAAAATAAATTATACTGCAGATAAATATAGTTTTTTCTTTTTGTACTCTTAGCCATAATGGAAAGGGTATACCACATTGTAACCCTCAAGCTATGCATTGTCCTAAATGTTCAGAATTTGTAAAGAAAATTAGGTGTTGCTGGTTGTGGTTAAGACAGATGCCCTCTCATCCGCGTAACAAACTACGCCCTAGATATGGCCGTGTTATCTGGGTTATGGTACATGTAATTGGTGCTGTAAGCATTATGGATTCCTTGCTACACGTCCATGTCCTCTGAGTTCACAGTCCTAACGGTAAACCTGTGCTGTAAGCAACATGGCTTCCTTGTTACACGTCCATTCCCTTTGAGGTCACAGTCCTAACGGTTAACCTTTTCCGGCTGCAACGTTCATGTCCCTTTATAATTGTGGCTAGAGTCAACGACTGGGTTCCCATCCCCAGATCGATCTAACAGGATCGGTCCATCTCCAAGGAGTTTCTCGCTAAATTGCTTTCAGCTTAAGAGGCTAAGATGTCTGGGACGTCTACTAAAGCTGCTATACGCTAGTTAATTACCGTTTATCGGCTTCAGTACGCGTGACGGACATATAAGCCGCTAAAGTTAATTGCAATTAAGTGAGAATCCCCTTGGAGATAGCTCGATCCAAAGTTAGTACTTTGTCTCTGGGAATGGTCACTGTGTGTTCTGATTGCCAGCGGTTTGAAGGGCTGCATATTAAAGGAACGAATAATGCACCAGACTCAAAGGTATATGATCTTTGGATTTCCGATAGGATACATTTAAGAATTTGTAAAATATAAGTCGTGCGTTCAAGAACGGAGTTCAGTTAACGGCTGAGTTTATCTTAAGTAAAATGTTAACAAAGAAAGATGAAGGAAAACAAAATACCAAGCGTTTGCCTAAATAGGTTTTATACCTTGCTATAGGGCCTACATTATTTCGTCGATCGTCAACCGCGATGAACTATGACAAAAAATATCACAAATGTTATCATACAAAAATCACTTAAAATGGAATATTATTATAAGTTTATTGAGCACTAAATGATATGAGGATACATTTGAACGCTCACTATAGACTACATTATTTACACAATATATAAAGATATACAAGTATGCTTACGTGCTAAATTACACGTGTTAATGCATGTTATGCTATAAGGTACTCAATTAGTGGTTGTGATGCATCAAATTGCAGGTGAACTATGTATTTTTAACAGCAGTCTTTACAATAGTATGCCTACCTCCTGAGAGTGAGGGAATTGGTAATGAGTTGTCGTACATTAGTTGTTTATCGAAACATAAGGACAATGCGTGAATTGTTTTTCACTTGCTAACAATCTCTCTCTCTCTCTTTCTTCAAATCTGTGCATCATAAGGAATAACCCCGCATTTTGTCCTTTTACTAGGGCCTGTGTATCATTGATGAATATTCTTAAATGATAGAAAATTCAACCCTAACGACCACTTTGGTCAGTATTCCTAACCTCACTGAGTTTTGTCCTTAAATATGGTGAAAACCAAGACATTTACCTGCAAACAGAAAACTTAACACAGTAATAGGAAAACGAGTAAGCGTTCATTTAAAATCCCGTTTAAAAACTGCATTATAGTACGCATGTACCTGTATACTGTAGCGTCAGTGCTGTCTTTTTTTAATAAATGAAAAAATGTTCAAATGTTACCGAAAAGGTGTGTCATGCATATCTTTTCAACAAACAATTATACATGACACTACAAGTCTCAGAACGAGTTACTTCCTTACTATATGCCTTGATGTTTTATGAAACATCTATACGAAACAGGCAAATTCATTTTGGCAGTCTGCATGCTCAGATGGTTCCATTTGCCTCTGACTCTTCCCACAAACCATTTGGTCAAGCAGTTTTTTTTTTTTACAAATATCACGAATTGTTTTTAATGACAGAACTGAAACAGCATTATTTTGTAACTGAGACAAAAATATTAAATTAATATATGACCTGTACTGTTTTGATAATGTTCAACAGGTGTGGCTCATAATAAGGTCAGATATAAAGGCGAAAGATTGTCTAAGTGTCATCTTTTGAACGCGAGGTTTCAGGAAAACAAAAGCCACGTGCCTATCCAAGACACAATTGTCAATAAATTCAAAGTACATGTGCTCGAAGCTTCACTGTCCGGCGGTGATCTGAAACCAAATAAAAAACAAGGAAAATATTATTCTTTTTATTTTTATCTTGTAATGCGAGGATAAGAAATAAGATGACATAACGCGGTTCCGTAAAATGACCAAAATGTTGCCAGAAAGATATTAGGATTCGTGTTTTGAACAATGATTAATTGGTTAAATTCCACTCTAGCTGTTATTTTCCGTATTATTATGGCGTTTTCGAAACTTTTCCTTTAGTGCCGAAAGTAAACTTTCTCCTCCATACCCATTCAAAACAATATCGCAATGGTTAAAAATTTCATTTTGTTTTGTCCGATAGGCGTTCATTGCCAAGTTTCGCCATTTATGATTCATTTTTCTTAACATGTATGTCGTTTTGTCCTTTTATAAACAGGGTCTTTTTGGCCAGAAATACATGGGCATACTTACGTGGGCTGTTGGACGATAATTGGACTTCCATTGGAAACCGTCTGGCATGGCTTACAATTCACCACGAGGATGAGATAATCCCGGAGCTGGATAATCTGCTCTGTATGGCGTAGAACAAAAGTTGCATTGTACATGTCACACTCCATCTTCTTGTGCTAAAATAAATAAATAAATAAATAGATGATTATATTAATGAAATTAATAAATCAATTAATCAATGCAATGACAAGTTACATGCGAATTTTGTAACTCTTGTAATTTTGTAACACAATCGCTTCTTTATTCGTGTAAACCACATATGTAGATCTATTTCATGCGTATTTAAATTTTCAAAACTAAAAACTTTAAAAGAAATGAACGGTCTGGTTAACTGATAGCACTGGTTATACGTTGAGTCGCGGGCAATATTCCTTGGCTGCACGGGTATACACGCACCGCATTCACAGCGTCAGTTTCAGCCTCATCTCCCACAACCACATTGGTTTGAGCATTTTCCATTTTGAAACCTTTCCTCTAATGTGATTCAAATAAAAGCAAACTAAAAAATGCTAGGCTATTATTTATACTTTTTGGTATATTTTTCATAAAATACCAGCTTGAAATTAATTATTTGGTGATTTTCAAAACAATATTGTGTAATGAAAAACGTGCGGTTATTGTTATCAGTTATTCATCTTTGGGTCTGTTCCCACAACTTTAGATCGATCTATCACCGCGGGGAGTCTCACCAGACTACCGTCAGATAATCCCCCTTAAGTGTCCGTCCCCGCCCACTACAAGCCGTAAGGGGCAATTAAATTTCGTGTCCGCCCGGCTGACAGCTATTCAGCGCGAACCCCCAGGGAGTTAGGTCGATCCAAAGTAGGTCGATCTAATCTATGGAAATGGGGTGTTTGTCAAAGCCGTACCGTGACGCCACATCCGGAGTTGTCTTTGGCAAGGGGAATTCTGATCAAGTTCCATTCCATGGTGTCATTAAATTGCCCCACACAATTCGTGTCATTCCCATGGCCTTGTGCATATATCTTACTGGAGGGATAGCGCGCTCTGAAGGCCGCGTAGTCGTTCGGTTTGAACCAGAATCTCATTTCTTCTGTAAAACAGGTGAAGTTAACTGAAAATGGAAGGAATTATTTGACTTGTTAAATTGTAGCCAGCTTCCCCTTGATATCAATCTGAAGACAAATTGTTTTTTTTTTTAAATTATTATTTTCTTTTCTTTATTAAGTTAAATATCTGTTTACTTATTGCATGAAAATAAAGATATTTTGTGATTAATGAACATAATTTAGCTCCTATATGTATAAAGTGATATTAATTTGTAATTAATTAAAAAGTACAATATTCGAGATCACAGATGGGTTATGATGTTTGCGAGATACGGTAATGACTATATTTGATAGGACTAGCACAACTCGTACAGGAGGCAAGACTCATGATCAGCTACATTATGTAGTACAGGATACACATGTATACCTGCTACGTGATTATATTAGGTACATATACTCGAACAAGAACGGCTAAAAGAAAAGCTAAACCCATTAGTAAACCTATTAAATGTTACACTAAGGCAAATTACAAAATACATTATTTGAGGAAAATGTTAAACTTATATAAGCTTATACATCATCCTAAAAGAGCAGTGAAAAACCATTCACAAAGTATTTCTTTTACTTGGGCTTTTCTTTAACTCTTTTATTTAATTACTTTCGTATCCAAGCTGTTGTTTTGTTTGTTCGTTTTTCTCCAATCATACTCATACTCACAGACGCCCTCTGCTATTACTACTGCTGATGCTTTGTGCCAGCCGCAGATTAATATTAACAGCCACTAAAAATAAAAAAGAAATATGAAAGCGAAAGTAATCGTAAAGGGGTAATGTAATGATACAACACGAACGCGATAATAACTAGGGATCCGGGACTGACTCTCTATAAACAGAAACACATTCAATCGCAATGTGTATCATAACATTGCATAACAATAAATGACTTTCTAAAAGAGGTGAGTGCAGTATTCATTATTCATTGAAATCCGTGATTTTAATTAAATTAAGAACTTCTTAAGGAAAGGTTTCATTTGACTGTATCAAACCAGTCTATCATGCACAAGACTAAAACACACACACACACACACACACACACAAACACACACATACATACACACAAACACACACACACACAAACAAACAAACACACCATAAATACGCGTATACAAACAAACACACGTGCGCGCACACACGCTCACCCTCACCCACAAACATGCGCTCACACACATATATATGCACACATACACAAACTATTGCACACAGATACAGGCACCTACACAGAGGCGCGCACACGCCATTAATTGAGTACAACTAAGAGTTTTAAAATATACAATCAGTCGTCCTTATTGGGTCTCATATAAAATGAATGGTTTAAAGTTAGACATTATCCCGTATCCCGTAAACAAACAGAGGTTAAATGATAAGATCTGTAATTTTTCAAAAGCTTAGATACATTGACAAACAAGACAATAACATCAGGAAATAAAAGAAAATTTATTATCTAAACCTGCTGATTATGCGCCGATAAGTATAGCTGGGTGTAACCAGATAAAAAGGTCAACAGCGCATATCAATATAATCAGATTATATCTGTGATAGTTTATTGAGCGAGCGAGAGAGAGAGAGAGACTGACTCACTTACACAAAGCTGTACAAACGCCATTTCCACGTTTCTCTCTAGTTTTTTATGCGTTTTACACGTCCTCCAAGCATCGGCATTGCATTCATGTATTATGCGCCTACGAATATGTAGTTCTGAAAGAAGGTAATGCATTCATACAAGACTATTTTCAAAAATGAATTAAAAAGTTAAACTGAAGAATAAGTCTTATAGCAATTGATGCTTCTTATGAAATAGTTTATGAAATATTTAAGATATATCACGTGTATTCATTTGGCACATAAAAGACCACGGTAGATTATGGTCATTGCAAATTATTTCCAAACTGACATGGCAGTAAATAAGGCTTGCAAAATGACCTCTCTCTCTCTCTCTCTCTCTCTCTCTCTCTCTCACACACACACACACAAACACACACACATTCTCTCTCTCTCTCACTATTTCTAGTTCAAAGGCCATTTATAAATATAACATTGTTTGAATAATGAATGGATTATTATCTCTTTAATTCTCTCTCTCACACACACACACACACTCTCTCGCCCTCTCTCTCTCTCTCTCTCTCTCTCTGTGTGTGTAAATTGTGTTTGCACATGCCCTAAAGCTACATGCCACTCTTTGCTGCCTTCATAGCAAACAGAGTACATTTAGTATCACCAGCCTGAGGTATTAGTGCAGCACGTCTCCTCTGGGGCTTGGACACACACCCTGGCGGTAATAATGATAGGTTCCATATACTTTACAGTGCTCGTGCTATTCTTTTTCTGACTTAAATTACCAGTGACACATAGATTCCCCCAAGGCTAGTACTCTCAATTTCATCCTTTTTCGTGAAATTGTAAAGAAATTTAGGTGGAGCTGATTCTAAGTGAGAAAAATGCTATCCTTACTATTTCACAAATTACATCTGCTTCGGATATGGGTCATGGCTGTGTATCAATAACAGCTTCGCGTAGTCTTAATGCTTCCTACCATCAAACCTCACAAGAATGTAAGAAACCCTTACGTACCTTATTGCGTCCGCAACCATTTCTGCGCGCTTTTAAACTAAGAAATGTCTTAATTAGATTCTATAAACGAATTGACCTTATTACGCTATCAAAATGACGAAGGCAGCCATTGCAGAGTGCGCATACTCCTCTATTCGTAGAATGACATGAGGGTTATGAATTTTGCAAAAGTTCAGAATATCGTCTTCGCTTCCAGCTATTTTGTTTTGGTTGAATTATTCATTTTTCCAATACATGTTCGTTCATCTAATATTCTTTGTAGGAAACGCCTTAGCAACATGTGATTATGCCACACCTTGGGCGAATAAAACGTTTTCGTCCAAGGCCAGACCAAAACAAAGGAGGGAAAAATAATATTACATTGTCTTGATAGGTATGAAAAGAGGAAAAAGTCAATCCGACATTATAAAGAGCATAGTTTTGTGAAACTTGTAGCGCCTTTTCTCGCCTTAGAACTTCATGCGGAGTTGGGATGGATAAACAATGGCTTCATACGGTGGCCCTATGAGGCCATCNAAAAAAAACTTTTTAGAAAAAAAAAAAAAACAGGGACTAACTTTGGATGTAAAAAAAGATTCATTGACCATTGGTAAGTATGGGGAAATTATTGTTTACTCCAGAAAAAATTCATTTTTTGGCCAAAACGAAGAGTTATTATCCCTTTAAAGAGAAGGCCTTAACTTACGTCACAACGACGATTGTATTGGAGACCGTCAAACATGGTTTGCAATCGCTCACACCTATCGAAGTATCCGTGGCTAGGTCCAGTTCGTCATTATGGCTTAGAAAAAAGTTAGCACTGTAGATATCACAACTTCCTTTCGTATACTGAAAGGGAAATTTTCGATTTAATATTATTGCAATTTCTATATGAGGTGACTGATATGATACTGAAACACAAGACGAATATGATACATGAGCTTTACTATCTGTTTTTTTTTCTTTGTGTGTGTGTGTGTGTGTGTGTGTTTGTTTGTTTTCCTTTTGCTAGCCTCATCCCTAAAAACTGATCATTTATGTACGTTTTACATTGTTTGAAATCATGTATCATGCTAATGTACTTGCACACACACACACTCACACACACACACGCATTCACACACACACACGCACACACTTTCGCTAGCTCGATATTCTACACGAAATGATTTCAATATTCGGCCTACCGAAATTCCGCAGCCAGTGTTTTGCTTTGCCAGGGGTATAGACACAACATACCGCCCGTTTGTGGCGTCATTTTGACTCACGCACCTCGAGTCGTTTCCATAGCCCTGCACATACACTTTGCTGGAGGGATATTTTGTTCTAAAGGACGAGTAGTCGTACGGTTTGAACCAGAATACCATATTTCCAGTCAGACAGGACACGGTATCTGAAAATGTGAAGAAAATGTATGAATTTGTCAAAGCATCTTCCACCTTACCCCCATCGACCGACAGTGGTACTTCTCCGGCACGTTGCAGTACTTTTGTGAGATGTTAGGCGAGACTGAAGCTGTCTAATTAACGTCCACAAACGACCACCATCGACCAAGGCGTCCAATAACGTCTACAAATGTCCACCAGCATAAAATGCTTGGGAAATCAATACATGTATATATCAACCAATTCGGTCATTTTTAGTCCAATTTGTCGGCAATGATCTCGTTGATATCGACGTTTACACCGAGGTTTAAACTTCCGATCTGGAAATAGGTTCCAGCGAAGAAAAAGGCATTACAAAATGAGCTTCCCAAGCGGGACTTTCCTGTTGTGTTGGCGGCATCTTGGAGAAAATAAGTGACGTCATTTTACAAGGTCAGGTATTCAGGATTTATTTAAACAAGAAATAGTAAGGGGGCATTTACGGCCGACAAGGTATTTTAACAAGTGAAGACGAATATGACCTTACTATGCATGCAGAGGGTTAAACCTACAAGCAGAATACAAAATTTCAGCTTCGTCTTTTGGACCTTACCGTGTTGGTACCCAAGTAGGTGAAAAAGTTCCGAAATAAAAAAAAATCAGAAAAATATCCACAAGCAATAGAAACCGTTGTGTTTATGACACGCTCAATTATCTCATGTTAAACCCACAAACTTCATATGTGGTGACGCAGCATAGTGCTGGCATTTTCAAACCATAAAATTAGGGATATTTTCCAGCATATCATTATAATAGTTATAATACTTACAGCTGCCATTTTGTCCTTCAACCACTGATGTTATAGACAAGGCAAATAAGATCATCAGTACCAACTAGAAAAAAATCAAAATGACGAAATTCAGAAGAGAAAAACAACAACTTTGTTTTACGGGAATGGAAGATGATGATGATGATGATGATGATGAGAAAGAGAGAGAGAGAAGTATACCCACATATACGGATGCTGATCCCATAGCTCTGCCTTTGAAATCCTTTTTCTCTCCTTTGACTGATGTGTCTCCCTAACATTGATATACCTTTAGTTATGATATGTTACAACACGTGTCAGGTTCAGTAAAAAAAGGGTCAAAAGCAATTGGCATAATTTCATGCACAATGCGGATGTGTCGATGCGCTTAAAGAAATTAGAGTGAAATTATGACAGACATTGAGGATCAAAACATCTTTTCTTGTGAAGGTTTATGGTCAATGCACATCCAGTTAAATGCCAAATAGTTAAATAGGCTTCTCTCTCTTTCCTTCTCTCTCTCTCTCTCTCTCTCTCTCTCTCTCTCTCTCTCATACACACACACTTATTCTAAGTAAAGTTAAAACATTTTCTGACAAAACTTTGTGTACTATAATACCGGTATATGCAAGCCTTTAAAAACAAATTATACTGCAGATAAATATAGTTTTTTCTTTTTGTACTCGTAGCCATAATGGAAAGGGTATACCACATTGTAACCCCCAAGCTATGCATTGTCCTAAATGTTCAGAATTTGTAAAGAAAATTAGGTGTTGCTGATTGTGGTTAAGATAGATGCCCTCTCATCCGCGTAACAAACTACGCCCGAGATATGGCCGTGTTATCTGGGTTATGGTACATGTAATTGGTGCTGTAAGCAACATGGCTTCCTTGCTACACGTCCATGCCCTCTGAGTTCACAGTCCTAACGGTAAACTTGTGCTGTAAGCAACATGGCCTCCTTGTTACACGTCCATTCCCTCTGAGTTCACAGTTCTAACGGTTAACCTTTTCCGGCTGCAACGTTCATGTCCCTTTATAATTGTGGCTAGAGTCAACGACTGGGTTCCCATCCCCAGATCGATCTAATAGGATCGATCCATCTCCAAGGGGTTTCTCGCTAAATTGCTTTCAGCTTAAGAGGCTAAGATGTCTGGGACGTCTACTAAAGCTGCTAAACGCTAGTTAATTACCGCTTATCGGCTTCAGTACGCGTGACAGACATATAAGCCGCTAAAGTTAATTGCAATTAAGTGAGAATCCCCTTGGAGATAGTTCGATCCAAAGTAAGTACGATAGTTTCTGGGAATGGTCACTGTGTGTTCTGATTGCCAGCGTTTTGAAAGACTGCATATTAAAGGAACGAATAATGCACCAGACCCAAAGGTATATAATCTTTGGATTACCGATTTAAGAATTTGTAAAATATAAGTCGTGCGTTCAAGAACGGAATTAAGTTAACGGCTGAGTTTATCTTAAGTAAAATGTTAACTAAGAAAGATGAAGGAAAACAAAATACCATGCGTTTTCCTAAATAGGTTTTATACCTTGCTATAGGGCCTACATTATTTCGTCTATCGTCAACCGCGATGAACTATGACAAAAACTATCACAAATGTTATCATATAAAAATCACTTAAAATGGAATATTATGATAAGTTTATTGAGCACTAAATGATATGAGGATCCATTTGCAGGCTCACTATAGACTACATTATTTACACAATATATAAAGATATACAAGTATATGCTTACGTGCTAAATTACACGCATGTTATAGCATGTTATGCTATAAGGTACTCAATTAGTGGTTGTGATGTATTAAATTACAGGTGAACTATGTATTTTTAACAGCAGTCTTTACAATAGTATGTCTACCTCCTGAGAGTGAGGGAATTGGTAATGAGTTGTCGTACATTAGTTGTTTATCGAAACATAAGGACAATGCGTGAATTATTTTTCAGTTGCTAATAAGCTCTCTCTCTTTCTTCAAATATGCATCCTAAGGAATAATCCCGCATTTTGTCCTTTTACTAGGGCCTGTGTATCATTGATGAATATTCTTAAATGATAGAAAATTCGACCCTAACGACCACTATGGTCAGTATTCCTAACCTCACTGAGTTTTGTCCTTAAATATGGTGAAAATCAAGACATTTACCTGCAAACAGAAAACCTAACACAGTAATAGGAAAACGAGTAAATGTTCATATAAAATCCCGTTTAAAAACTACATTGTAGTACGCATGTACCTGTATACTGTAGCGTCAGTGCTGTCTTTTTTAAATAAATGAAAAAAATGTTCAAATGTCACCGGAAGGTGTGTCATGCATGTCTTTTCAACACGTAATTATACATAACACTACGAGTCTCAGAACGAGTTATTTTGTTACTATATGCCTTGATGTTTTATGAAATATCTATACAAAACAGGCAAATTCATTTTGGCAGTCTGCATGCTCAGATGGTTCCATTTGCCTCTGACTCTTCCCACAAACCATTTGGTCAAGCAGTTTTTTTTACAAATATCACGAATTGTTTTTAATGACAGAACTGAAACAGCATTATTTTGTAACTGAGACAAAAATATTAAATTAATATATGACCTGTACTGTTTTGATAATGTTCAACAGGTGTGGCTCATAATAAGGTCAGATATAAAGGCGAAAGATTGTCTAAGTGTCATCTTTTGAACACGAGGTTTCAGGAAAACAAAAGCCACGTGCCTATCCAAGTCGCAATTGTCAACAAATTCAAAGTACATGTGCTCGAAGCTTCACTGTCCGGCGGTGATCTGAAACCAAATAAAAAACAAGGAAAATATTATTCTTTTTATTTTTATCTTGTAATGCGAGGATAAGAAATAAGATGACATGACGCGGTTCCGTAAAATGACCAAAATGTTGCCAGAAAGATATTAGGATTCGTGTTTTGAACAATGATTAATTGGTTAAATTCCACTCTGTTATTTTCCGTATTATTATGGTGTTTTCGATACTTTTCCTTTAGTGCCCAAAGTAAACTTACTCCTCCATACCCATTCAAAACAATATCGCAATGGTTAAATATTTCATTTTGTTTTGTCCGATAGGCGTTCATTGCCAAGTTTCGCCATTTATGATTCATTTTTCCTAACATGTATGTCGTTTTGTCCTTTTATAAACAGGGTCTTTTTGGCCAGAAATACATGGGCATACTTACGTGGGCTGTTGGACGATAATTGGACTTCCATTGGAAACCGTTTGGCATGGTTTACAATTCACCACGAGGATGAGATAATCCCGGAGCTGAATAATCTGCTCTGTATGGCGTAGAACAAAAGTTGCATTGTACATGTCACACTCCATCTTCTTGTGCTAAAATAAATAAATAAATAAATAAATAAATAAATAAATAAATAAATAAATAAATAGATAGATAGATGATTACATAAATGAAATTAATATATCAATTAATCAATGCAATGACAAGTTACATGCGAATTTTGTAACTCTTGTCATTTTGTAACACAATCGCTTGTTTATTCGTGTAAACCACATATGTAGGTCTATTTCATGTGTATTTAAATTTTCAAAATAAAAAAACTTTAAAAGAAATGAACGGTCTGGTTAACTGGTAGCACTGGTTATACGTTGAGTCGCGGGCAATATTCCTTGGCTGCACGGGTATACACGCACAGCATTCACAGCGTCAGTTTCAGCCTCATCTCCCACAACCACATTGGTTTGAGCATTTTCCATTTTGAAACCTTTCCTCTAATGTGATTCAAATAAAAGCAAACTAAAAAAATGCTAGGGTATTATTTACACTTTTTGGTATATTTTTCATAAAATACCAGCTTGAAATAAATTATTTGGTGATTTTCAAAACAATATTGTGTAATAAAAAACGTGCAGTTATTGTTATCAGTTATTCATCTTTGGGTCTGTTCCCACAACTTTAGATCGATCTATCACCGCGGGGAGTCTCACCAGACTACCGTCAGATAATCCCCCTTAAGTGTCCGTCCCCGCCCACTACAAGCCGTAAGGGGCAATTAAATTTCGTGTCCGCCCGGCTGACAGCTATTCAGCGCGAACCCCCAGGGAGTTAGGTCGATCCAAAGTAGGTCGATCTAATCTATGGAAATGGGGTGTTTGTCAAAGCCGTACCGTGACGCCACATCCGGAGTTGTCTTTGGCAAGGGGAATTCTGATCAAGTTCCATTCCATGGTGTCATTAAATTGCCCCACACAATTCGTGTCATTCCCATGGCCTTGTGCATATATTTTACTGGAGGGATAGCGCGCTCTGAAGGCCGCGTAGTCGTTCGGTTTGAACCAGAATCTCATTTCTTCTGTAAAACAGGTGAAGTTAACTGAAAATGGAAGGAATTATTTGACTTGTTAAATTGAAGCCAGCTTCCCCTTGATATCAATCTGAAGACAAATTGTTTTTTTTAATTATTATTTTCTTTTCTTTATTAAGTTAAATATCTGTTTACTTATTGCATGAAAATAAAGATATTTTGTGATTAATGAACATAATTTAGCTCCTATATGTATAAAGTGATATTAATATGTAATTAATTAAAAAGTACAATATTCGAGATCACAGATGGGTTATAATGTTTGCGAGATACGGTAATGACTATATTTGATAGGACTAGCACAACTCGTACAGGAGGCAAGACTCATGATCAGCTACATTATGTAGTACAGGATACACTTGTATACCTGCTACGTGATTATATTAGGTACATATACTCGAACAAGAACGGCTAAAAGAAAAGCTAAACCCATTAGTAAACCTATTAAATGTTACACTAAGGCAAATGACAAAATACATTATTTGAGGAAAATGTTAAACTTATATAAGCTTATACATCATCTTAAAAGAGCAGTGAAAAACCATTCACAAAGTATTTCTTTTACTTGGGCTTTTCTTTAACTCTTTTACTTAATTACTTTCGTATCCAAGCTGTTATTTTGTTTGTTCGTTTTTCTCCAATCATACTCATACTCACAGACGCCCTCTGCTATTACTACTGCTGATGCTTTGTGCCAGCCGCATATTAATATTAACAGCCACTAAAAATAAAAAAGAAATATGAAAGCGAAAGTAATTGTAAAGTGGTAATGTAATGATACAACACGAACGCGATAATAACTAGGGATCCGGGACTGACTCTCTTTAAAAAAAACACATTCAATCGCAATGTGTATCATAACATTGCATAACAAGAAATGACTTTCTAAAAGAGGTGAGTGCAGTATTCATTATTCATTGAAATCCGTGATTTTAATTAAATTAAGAACCATATCTCATAAGACTCATGTTCTTAAGGAAAGGTTTCATTTGACTGTCTCAAACCAGTCTATCATGCACAAGACTAAAACACACACACACACACACACATACACACAAACACACACAAACAAACAAACACACCATAAATACGCGTATACAAACAAACACACGTGCGCGCACACACGCTCACCCTCACCCACAAACATGCGCTCACACACACATATATATGCACACATACACAAACTATTGCACACAGATACACGCACCTACACAGAGGCGCGCACACGCCATTATTTGAGTACAACTAAGAGTTAATATACAATCAGTCGTCCTTATTGGGTCTCAAATAAAATGAATGGTTTTAAGTTAGACATTATCCCGTATCCCGTAAACAAACAGAGGTTAAATAATAAGATCTGTAGTTTTCAAAAGCTTAGATACATTGACAAACAAGAGAATAACATCAAGAAGTAAAAGAAAATTTATTATCTAAACCTGCTGATTATGCGCCGATAAGTATAGCTGGGTGTAACCAGATAAAAAGGTCAACAGTGCATATCAATATAATCAGATTATATCTGTGATAGTTTATTGAGCGAGCGAGCGAGAGAGAGAGAGAGAGACTGACTCACTTACACAAAGCTGTACAAACGCCATTTCCACGTTTCTCTCTAGTTTTTTATACGTTTTACACGTCCTCCAAGCATCGGCATTGCATTCATGTATTATGCGCCTACGAATATGTAGTTCTGAAAGAAGGTAATGCATTCATACAAGACTATTTTCAAAAATGAATTAAAAAGTTAAACTGAAGAATAAGTCTTATAGCAATTGATGCTTCTTATGAAATAGTTTATGAAATATTTAAGATATATCACGTGTATTCATTTGGCACATAAAAGACCACGTTAGATTATGGTCATTGCAAATTATTTCCAAACTGACATGGCAGTAAATAAGGCTTGCAAAATGACCTCTCTCTCTCTCTCTCTCTCTCACACACACACACACACACACACACACAAACACACACACATTCTCTCTCTCTCTCACTATTTCTAGTTCAAAGGCCATTTATAAATATAACATTGTTTGAATAATGAATGGATTATTATCTCTTTCTCTCTCTCTCACACACACACACTCTCTCTCTCGCCCTCTCTCTCTCTCTCTCTGTGTGTGTGTGTGTGTGTGTGTGTGTGTGTGTGTAAATTGTGTTTGCACATGCCCTAAAGCTACATGCCACTCTTTGCTGCCTTCATAGCAAACAGAGTACATTTAGTATCACCAGCCTGAGGTATTAGTGCAGCACGTCTCCTCTGGGGCTTGGACACACACCCTGGCGGTAATAATGATAGGTTCCATATACTTTACAGTGCTCGTGCTATTCTTTTTCTGACTTAAATTACCAGTGACACATAGATTCCCCCAAGGCTAGTACTCTCAATTTCATCCTTTTTCGTGAAATTGTAAAGAAATTTAGGTGGAGCTGATTCTAAGTGAGAAAAATGCTATCCTTACTATTTCACAAATTACATCTGCTTCGGATATGGGTCACGGCTGTGTATCAATAACAGCTTCGCTTAGTCTAAATGCTTCCTACCATCAAACCTCACAAGAATGTAAGAAACCCTCACGTACCTTATTGCGTCCGCAACCATTTCTGCGCGCTTTTAAACTAAGAAATGTCTTAATTAGATTCTATAAACGAATTGACCTTATTACGCTATAAAAATGACGAAGGCAGCCATTGCAGAGTGCGCATACTCCTCTATTCGTAGAAAGACATGAGGGTTATGAATTTTGCAAAAGTTCAGAATCTCGTCTTCGCTTCCAGCTATTTTGTTTTGGTTGAATTATTCATTTATCCAATACATGTTCATTCATCTAATATTCTTTGTAGGAAACGCCCTAGCAACATGTGATTATGCCACACCTTGAGCGAGTGAAACGTTTTCGTCCAAGTCCAGACCAAAACAAAGAAGGGGAAAATAATATTACATTGTCTTGATAGGTATGAAAAGAGGGAAAAGTCAATCCGACATTATAAAGAGCATAGTTTTGTGAAACTTGTAGCGCCTTTTCTCGCCTTAGAACTTCATGCGGAGTTGGGATGGATAAACAATGGCTTCATACGGTGGCCCTATGAGGCCATCATTTGTTTTTCTAGTAACGAGTCTGCCTTCTCTTTATCCATTTTACAAAAGAATACTGTGCACGCCATTGGACTGTTAGAATGTCGGTTTACTTGCTTGAAAACTCGGAAAAGCATATTTACTGAGAAAAAACTCAAGACAACAACAAATCCCTGAAGGAAAAGAAACGTTTATTAATATCTTCCATTTTATACCCCCACCCCTCCAGAGAAGTGAAGTGGTCATATCAACATGAAAACGATATTTTGACTTTTTTCTTTTCTTGAAATAACAACTTTCATCTAATTAACACAAAATGGAACTGCTGCTTCTAAGATATTTATAATCTTTGGCGTCTTATCTTTTTTACCATTTATTCGTACTTCATGTACAAAATAAAATACCTGCAACTGACATGTTCTGATATCTTGTGTCTCTAAACTCCATGTAACATGGGATAGCCGTTTTCAGTAATTCTTAAAAAAAAAAACTTATCTTTCCGAATTTATCATTCTGATTGAAATGAAGAGTTCGCGCGTTGCAACTACCATTTTGTAATTAAGATTCGCATTACAGACTTTGTAATTATCTGTATACCAATATTTTATTTATAAGAGAAGCCATCTCTTTGTCGGCGTCTTTGTAATTATATTAAAAACGACGACTTTATCCATTTAAGATCAAGAAAATATTTTCTCAATGTGACATTAGGGTTACAATACCATACTAATTAATATCTATACTACGATTTCACCACAAACATTACTAATAGCTAATTATCATTTTATAAATATAATGATAATGGCTTTGTCATTTCACGTTCACATTATTGCCTGACTTAGTGTTAAACCACATAAGTTGATTCCATTTTGCTGACACACAATATTGACGGTTACTTATAGTGAAATGTTAAATTTTTTCAATATTTTACAATACAACATGACGCATGTAAGATCCAAAACTAAGCCCACGGGATTAATGTTGAAAGATACAACCGTGAAAAAATCTACTTCTTATTAAGTAATAAATCCTCATTCCTTCCTCATTCCTTTAAAGCACTTCAAATGCTCAAACTAAGAAAAGAAATGATAGTTCCAGTTCATTTTTCCATACCTTTGAATAATAAGCAAAAAAAGAAAAAAAAATTAAATAAAAAATAAAAAAGGGGGGGGGGAGAAAAAAAGAATATCACAAGTTACAAAAAAAAAAAAAAATGACTACGACCTACCTACACAGGTAATGAAGCTATAAACTCAAAAGAAAAAGTAGGCCTGTGTGCGGCATATCAACACAAACCTGACTAGCCAACTTCATATCTACAAGTTGTATTTACACATAAATAAGAAAAACACTCTCTGCCTCACAAGCCCCTTGCCCCGGTTATGGAAAACGAAACTAAGCACAAAATCATACAAACAAAACCACATGAAAAAAATAGAGATGTGAATAATGATAATTACCAGGGCGAGCTGCAAAACTCAGATCGTTTTTTTTTTTTTTTTTGAAATTTTGCAATTTGATGTTTTTACTGAAAATTAACAATACTTACTAATCTACAAGCACATTGCTCTGCTAATGACGAGTTTATTAAAATATAGATCCAAAATAATGCTGAGCGTACTGCTATAAACAAATCTCCTTGCAGAGACAACAGAGGCCCCTTTCACAAGAACAATAGGTTGGAAACAGTCCACATAAATGTAATACAGCATCTGTTTTTTAACGTGAGAGACAAGGGTAATGTTTTAGACCATACTCACTGTATCTAAGTGGACCACTATGGGTTCATTTTGAACATAAGTAGACCAAATTTAGGGTCCAAAAGGTTAGACCGATTTTGGGGCTATACCCCCTTTGTGAAATTGGCCTCAGTAATGGTTGCAGTGTCAGTTGTTAAGTTCATAAATGCCCTTTTTTTTGCTGCTATCTCAGTTCGCTTACTCATTTAAGTTCACCTAAAATATATAAGCCACCAGGTAGTCATCTACAAGTGTATAGAGTTGTGGCTAAATGCTGCCTGAAAATGTTATCTACATTATATTAAACTTTGGTTTAAAAAATGAGAGAGAGAGAGAGAGAGAGAGGCAGGTATTTAATTTTTCAGGATGTTGGATTGTTTGTCACAAGAACAGGATATGGGGCACACAAAGGCCCAAGTTTGTCAACTGAAGTTGGGGGGGGGGTCTATTTCAAGAAGTCTTTTGGGTTTACCATCCAATTCCAAAATTAGGAAGTAGTTTAATAATCAATAATTTTCTGCATCACATCTTAAAATAAAATTCAGCAAAGGACACTGTATTGACAATCCACTGTCTTGATGAAACTGACCCCAATTTCTTCACCCCTTGCCATGCGAAATGCAACCGAAGATGACCCGGATGTTGAAAAACCTGAATTCATTATTTATACACCTACAACCACCGTTTCTCATACATTTAACATCTCTGTCACAAGCCCTGTCAATTTTACTGTGCCGTCCAAAGACATGGACAAGAATCTCTCTGCAGCTTTGGCACTGACTGTTCGTAAGGCAGGCAGGCGCAGTAAAACTCGTCCGTATCGTCTGGGGTTGTGCGGAAACTTGCTGGTCTCGTATTTACGGAAACTGTCCAGAATTTTGGCCTGCAACATTTGCACTTTTTCTTTTTCCTTCAATCCTGCTGCATCTGAATTTGAAATGAAGATTTAATAAGTTGCACAAAATCATTTCATTATTGAAATAATTTATCTAGAATGAGTTTGCCATTTAGTGCAAACAGTGAGGGATCACTGGATCATTGGCTGCCTAGGCCAATCATATTCTTAGCTCCGAAAAAGTTGGAAATCTGCCAGTCGGCAGAAAAACCTCATTCCTGATTAATAGTTTCATATAAACTGGAGACAAAGTTTTTAAGTAATCTTCAATGACAAATACATAAATAATTAAGAAGAGAGTGAGAGGATATGGACGCAAAAAAAAAAAAAAATGATGAGTATCATAAAAAACAAGCATGTGACAAATGAAAAGACAGAGGTGTGAAGAGGTCAAATTATTCACCAAGCGAACAAATATGCGACACAAGTAAACACAACCTACCAGGATATGTTAGTATGAGTCCATTGAGTATACAGAACTCCACGCGGTCAAGAAACAGGTCCTTGAGCCGTCGGACAAAGTCCAGTGTGGCCAGAACCAGGTCTTGACCCCATCCGATCTCGACAGATTCTTCTTTGGACATCAAGATATTCTCAGCAAATCTCACGGCTCCTTCAAATTCCTTGGATCTGTATGAAAAATACAAAACAGAAAATTATAACTTATGAACATATTTTTGCATGCCCTTTGATACTTCAATTACTTTTTCTTTTGCTTCTGGAGACAAACTAATTTTTTTTCAAACAACTGTAGCACAGTTACCTATAACCCAGTCTAAATATAACAATAAAGTCACCTACAATCGTAGCACAGTTACCTGTAAGCCAGTCTAAACACATTCAATTCCATGAAAGAACTCTTCAACATGGCCATCTGATCTTCTATGCAAATTGAGCTAAACCCTGAAGACAAGAAAAAAGTCACCCTCAGCCAAGAGCAGGTACTCATTGTACTCATATCAACATCGTTATTAGAAATTCTTCCCACTTTTTTTTTGCTACTATGATAATAACAATTTTTTTTATCCTCTCTGTCTCTTTTTTAAATTTTTTTAATTAATTAATTAANTGTTGTTGTGTGGTGGGTGGGGTGGGGGGGGGTGTTCTTAAGACTTGGCACCACTCACCAGGAACTTTTTTGGCCCACTGTATAATCATCTTCAGTTCCCCGTATCCATATCTCATCAAGTGGTTGATATCCACCACATTGCCATCTGTGGCCACATCATCTGACACTGAAATAGGTGCACATTGCATTAAGTGAGATGGGAATGTATTCATTGTGACTGTGCTAGATTCCTGATAACAGAGCCTGGCGTGATTTTGAGTTGTAAGACAAAAAGAAAGAAGAAATGAGTTGATGGCCTTGTAACTGGTGTGTGTGTGTGTGTGTGTGTGTGTGTGAGGGGGGGGGGCAGTTAAGGCAGAAAACGGGCCCCATATCTGGCCCCAAATCTCCTCCAATTTCTACAAAATCTCACTTCATTCATGAGACTTAAAGCTATCTCAGATATCCATTTAGTGTGTGTGTGTACGCGCGCACGCACGCATGCATGCGCGCGCATGTGCGCACATGTGCCTCAGTGCATGTGTTTGCACTTGTCTCCAATATAAAAATCTATGGCATTTCATGCACAATATCCAAATATCAAATATGCAATATCAAAATATCTCAATTAACAGGTATGAGCAGGTGTTAGGAATCATCCAAACAACACAGTACCCAACTATCAACCAATTAACAGGTGCCCAGATCTTGTTATCATGTCAACTTCATTTTATCCAGCTGAGGGCAGACAACAAAAATGATAAGACTGTTGAGTGAATCCCTGTGAACAGGGTCAGTAGATGAAGTTTATTTTTGTTTTTTTAAATGTTTGGCATTTACCAAGCATAAACACTCAATTTTAAGGCCAGTCACTTTTTATGTATTTATTCAATCATTAATTTTAGGGGAAAGAACTGCCAACCATACAGTGTGGGCACAATAACAACAACATTCAGGGTTTTCCTGGGGTCAGGTCTAAATTTCTCCCGCTTACCAAACCAATACTCCATACAATTTTTTTTCATTTGATAAAGTAAGTAAATAAATGAAAAAAGGTACTGAAAATTGAGTTTAGTCAAAACTATGGTCAGTCATGCTTGTTAACCAATTAATCAGTTTTGTCTGGCCTAACATCCAATGAACAGGGATTTAGGTGTGGTATCACAGTCTTTGTCACCTTGGCTCTTAGCAGTATCTATTATACAAATTATTGAGACTAAATGAGAGTTTTATGTTTATGCCTTTTCTTCTCTGAGATTAAACCACATCTTGCAAAATTTAAAGTAATAGTAATAATAAAATAGCATGTAAAAATGAAAATAAGGGCAACACTAGCTTATTCATATTAAGCTGAGACATATATTCATGAAATTTAAACCTAATGAAAAAGAAAAAAAAATCAGCAAAATGATTTTTAGAGAAAAATGATCACTTTAACTAATTCCATGTCCAGTCATATATCTGGCTGACAGTATTTTAATTAAATCACTCACATGGCTCTGGTTCTGGTAACAGGTCTGGTTTGGCTGCTACCAACATGTCAATGATCTCGTCCGTGTACTCTTCTGTGGCCAGAGGAAACAGGTTCTCGTTGCTGTAGTCCATCACTTTAGGTCTGCGCACCCGATGTTTGCCGCCCGGTGAGCGATCTTCTCGCACAGCTGGAATGGAATTAAACTTATTATGTCTATTAAATAGTGCACATCCATGCATACACACACATACACACTAGTATCTCATTCATTGTTCTTTCCTGGTCTTTCCAAATTTTAGTGTTCAATTTTTCAATATTTTGTATAAAGTTCAAAACATAAAATTCTAAGTGTACTGCATATGTGCCTGTACACCAAGCCAGTGCATCTATAAATGACTATACCTTTGTCTCTAAATGTGATGATGAATGTTAGCAAGTTATGTCTGTGTCATAGCACGCGTGTGCACATGCATTTGTCAATGTAGGAGCACAAGTCCTTTCCATATCATTACTTAAAGGTATTCAATATACTTAGTACTGTATTCTATAGTAATTGAAATTTCACATTAAATATAATTTTTCTTGTAATTAAGAAAGTAAGTTCTCCCACACACAGACCTCTGCACACCCTGCCAATGGACTTAGATACAATGTTTTGCACCATTAACTTTCATAACATGGGGCTTACTTCTTAAATAATAATTATTCATTAAGACTTTCTTACATTCCTGGCAATTTAGGAGGAAATTCCAATATCGGGTACTAGTGCATTGTTTTAAGGAGTTATATCATTTTTAAGGTTTGGCGCGAGTAGCTATGCACAACATTCAGACATAAAAATATGACTATGAGACATTTTCAAACACATATAGAATAACTTTCTAGTTTTCAGTTTATCATAATCATCGATATCAATGATCAAGTTACCTTCTCTTTTCATCCCAACTTCCATACACCTCTGAAAGCGACAATACTGACAAGAATTCCTAGTGAACTTGTTGATGATGCACAACCCTGCGTCTTTACACTGATACACAAGATTCTTCTGAATTGTGCGCTTGAAAAAACCCTTGCAGCCTTCACACGAGTACACTGAGTAGTGATAGCCACTTCCTGAAACAAAAGACAACAATGTGTACATATAAGTATGGATGATTTACCACAGTTTAAAAGTCAAATATCAAAATGTGCCTCTAATAAATAAATTGATAGATAAGGCAAAGCTACAAAATTAATAAAAACAACTAGAAACTTTTTTAAAAAAGTTTTTTCACTCTCAATGGCATATTTGTTGGCATTTGCTTAGTTCATATCCACATCAACAAATCATAACCTTTCACATTGATTTACTCCATCTTGAAGTCTTCTAAAACTACACAAAAACAATAAAAAACTTTGTACTATTATTTAAATCTAACCATGTGTTTGTGAAAGATCAGCCAAAGGATGACAATTAAAAAAAATTACAGCAGCTCTATGAATGAAAGTCAATATCTTGGGCAATAAAAAGTTGATAAGAACTGATCTGACCTATGAGTACATGACAATTTTAGATAAAAAAAGAATTCCATCAGCTGTAACAGCCAGTAAAGAAATTGTTTATATCCAACATTCTGAACTCTTTCTAGAGCATCTATACCAGGTGAATGGCCTATTAATAAGCAAGTGTCCTGATATACTTGACCCACCTACCATAAAGGAGCAGGTAAGAAAAGGAAGGGAAGGGAGGATGGTCCCTTCATTTTTGAGACACAGGCTATAGATGTATTGCTGTAAAAGGCCAAATGTATTGTTCCTGTGTTTCAATGTCAGAATACCCCCCCCTCCCCCTCCTCTGCATCTCCTCCTACTGCCTCAGGAAACACAGGCACAGGTCAGGAAGGATGTTCCATTCTCTGGTGTAGATGACAACGATTTCAACACTGGCTGTTGGTTGAATAAAGAAAAAAAAAACAATGGTTTATTATTAAAGCAGTATCAGCATTAAATGTAAAATACCCTTATCAGAGCAGACCAAGCAGTAGCCTGGTGTCTCCTGACTGTGAGCCAGCTGATAATCTGTATTCAACGAAGAGCTGGTGACAACTGACGGAGAATCCATGGTTATAACTATGCTCGTAGAGGGGGGCTCTTTTGGCTCCCCCTGTTGAGCACCACTTTGTGGAGTCATTGAAGCATCGGCTGAGCTGGCAATTTGGGTGTAGTATCCAACGCTGGTGTTCTGGACTTCCTGTAGGGTCTGGTTGGATGTAGCATTGGCTTGGGATCTTTGAGACATATCAATAGCTTCATCTGGAATATGATTTGATTTTGATTAAATAAAAAACATTTATGAAATTTTTCCAGAGCTGTTTGGAGTTAAATGCAAAATTGGAGTTCCATGTTGAATAATGCTAAGGTTTATGATTACTGTATATCAATCAAACAATAATACATGACATTGTACATTTCTACAAATATTGAAATTAAGATCAGCTTTTTTTTACTTCATTAGCACAAAATGCAATTTAATTATGCTGGAAGAATGCAGTAAAATGCCATGCCAAATTCTTAACTGAAAGATTACATAAAAAAAACTTTTAGTAATATAAACACCGTTCTGGCGAGAATTGTCGGATTTCTATAAATGCACATTGGTCACTGAGGTAGAATTTGTGAGTAGCTAACTTGATTAAGTTAGCAGGAGAAAGGGTAATAGTTTATAGAAAACAAAGACAAACTTCAGAGAAAATTAAGAGGTAATATACCGGTATCCTCATGTCTCTGTGCCGCTGTGACGTATATAACTTGTTCCGTTGATTGATTGCCATCTTTGTACTCCATTGATCCAGCGGAGACATTATCGTTTCTATCACCGCCCTGTTGTTGTTGTTGTTGTTGTTGTCCAGCAATAGCCATAGAGTTTTCTGCCTGTTTACTCGCCAAAATTAAACACTCAGCGCCGGCAACGTTCTCGTTATTATTTGGAAAGTCTTCACGTCGCGCCATCTTTTTTACCTCTTTCTTAGGGAATAAGTCGACAAATGGAGTGTTATTCTAATCCGAAAATCAACCAATATCAAATAGCAAATTCTTTAACCCCATTTACCGTCCATTTAACACAAAGTTAGACCAAGATTGTGTCATAATCATCCAATACTTGAAATATTTTATCGAAGACATTGGCTGCCGACTCGATTTGGCCTCGCTTTGGCTTTGGGCTTGCTCTCGTAAATTGGAGGCAGGATACACACGGAAATGAGAATTTTCAGGAAGGACTGCATCATTTTTACGTACAGACACGCATGTGTACGTATAGTCGTCACCCGCGTCTGTCGTCGCCATGTACTTTCACCGACAACACGATAAAAGGAAAACTGTTTTACCTTTTGCCTTGAAACAGGACCACCCTTCTAATAATCCTCTGCTGTGATCCACTGCTGTCATACCACATGTAAAACGCGTTTAGCAGACAAAAATTGTATCTTCTCGGCGGAATTACCAATAAGTTTGAATTCTAGAATGTTCAATACAATATTTTGGCAATAAATAATTTCTAAAAATTGCATTTGATTACCATAAAAGGGAAAAACGTTTGTACGGAGGCATCGTATTCGAGGCCTGCCATCCCCCCCCCCCCCAAAAAAAAAAAAAAAAAAAAAAAAAAAACCTTCAAATCATCCTGGATCTATCCCAGTGTTTTGGCTCTGAAAGTATGAATCTGTGTTATCCTAAGGCCCCAAAAATTGAGTGAAATAAAAGGTTAAACATTGGCCCCTGAAAGCTACTGGGTTTTGATGCATTGTGACCTAGATTTGGCTTCCTTCTTTCAGCAAGCAAATTCGGGATGAAATACTTGTACAAAATCCACAGACAGGGCTCCCAAGTCTTCATCCTCTGTTTTTCAGCATGCAGTTTTGATAAAAGAAAAGTTTTCCCTACTACTGCCAAGCATTTTAAGTTGAATAAATATCCTTGTGAAACTAAAAAAGCCTTGAAAAATGTTGTACTGAGTATGTCAGAGATACCCCCTCCCCCCCCCCCACCACCACTGGGGGCNATTGATACATTGTATACTTGGACTTCCTCTGTGAAATTATTATGAGCTACTTGTTCACATAAAATTAGCCAACAAAAACGCAGCAGGTTATTGACTGCGGGTGTAAATTGAAGATTCTAACATTGTATTTCAATGGGCTGGATTAAACGTGATTAAAACTAATGAAAAGTCCACAGGTAATTACAAAAGCATTTTATTTCAACAGCTTTGACATAGATGAACAAGAAAATGTAAAAAACTGTTTGAAAAGTGAAAGTTACAGAAAGTTACAGGGTGGGGGGGTATACTACAAAAGTACCTGTTTTACCTTTTGCCTTGAAACAGGACCACCCTTCTAATAATCCTCTGCTGTGATCCACTGCTGTCATACCACATGTAAAACGCGTTTAGCAGACAAAAATTGTATCTTCTCGGCGGAATTACTTGCCGAATTTGTTTTTCTCTGTTTTGCGCTGTATTGCCACTCATTGCGCTATTTAGGAATACCCCACATCCATGTACTTCAAAGTTGATGATACTTAAGGCCATGTTTGGGGACGGGGGCGTCTCGATAGTCCGAAGGTTCATTGGTCCGAAAAACGGTAACATTTTCATCGGTTTTTTAATCAAGGGTTCATTGGTCTGAAGGTTCTGTAGTGAACATTCGGACCAATGAACCTTCGGACTATTGAACCTTCAGACTATTGCTACGGCCCCTTGGGGACTGATGTTGCGCAGGGTTAAATACATTTACTGTACAAGTACAGCACCCCGGCTATTGATTGTTATTGCAGATATATACATGCACATCCAAACTGACCGTCTCTGTGACAAAGCAGAAAGTTTCCATTTGATCTGAATTAAGCCTACCAATAAAGCTTCTCCAGCTCTGTGGTAACTCTGCTGCCTTGGACAAAGCTAAACACTTGTCTTCGAGTTTGAATTCTAGAATGTTCAATACAATATTTTGGCAATAAATAATTTCTAAAAATTGCATTTGATTACCATAAAAGGGAAAAACGTTTGTACGGAGGCATCATATTCGAGGCCTGCCATCCCCCCCCCCCCAAAAAAAAAAAAAAAAAAAAAAAAACAAAAAAACCCTTCAAATCATCCTGGATCTATCCCAGTGTTTTGGCTCTGAAAGTATGAATCTGTGTTATCCTAAGGCCCCAAAAATTGAGTGAAATAAAAGGTTAAACATTGGCCCCTGAAAGCTACTGGGTTTTGATGCATTGTGACCTAGATTTGGCTTCCTTCTTTCAGCAAGCAGATTCGAGATGAAATACTTGTACAAAATCCACAGACAGGGCTCCCAAGTCTTCATCCTCTGTTTTTCAGCATGCAGTTTTGATAAAAGAAAAGTTTTCCCTACTACTGCCAAGCATTTTAAGTTGAATAAATATCCTTGTGAAACTAAAAAAGCCTTGAAAAATGTTGTATGTCAGAGATACCCCCCCACCACCACCACCACTCCCACTATTGGGCTTCAGACCATTATATAGAAAAAGCTCATATTTAAATTGATTTTTTATACACTTTTACTTTTTGCATCAGTATAATATTTAATAATTATGATTCTTGTTCACTTTCAGATATGGCTTGCCTTGTCAAGTACAAGCAGCTGCAGCCCAATGAACTTACCAATGAACAGGCCCTTGAAATTTATAAAGAAGTATCATCGAAGAGAGCTGCTTGGCAAGATGTGAGAAATGTGCTCAAAATTTGGGATTCCTACATTCAAGACATACCTTCTAATTATTTGTCACTGTCCTTCCATACAGTTAAGACTAAAAGAGCTAAGCTGAAAAAGAGCAAGAGAGACTTATGTAAGTTGACGCAGTATCTTTCTGAACCGTTTGTGCTGTTGCTTAAACGTGACAGTAGGGTGAAAGGAGTGCAAAGAAAGGGCACTGAAGAATCCTGTGAACCACCTGTTGACTTGTGTGAACCACCTACCAAACGGCGTCATTCTGACCAGCGTCAAGCTGATGCTTCTGGAGAAACAGTCCAGAAGCTTGGTGCTGAGGTGAAGTTGCTGCAACAGAAAGTGAAAACATTGCTCATAGAGAACAGTCGCCTCCGGAAGGAGAACGGTCATCTTCAAGACCATGTGGACATATTGAAAAGAAAATGTTCAGTGTACAATCCAAGGAGAGTCAACCTGATGATTAAACGCAAAGAAAAGTCTATATGCTTGTGGAAAGAGAAATGTAGGAAATTACAAATCTCTGCTGCCAAAGGTGAACGCCTTCAGGAAAAACTTGAGAGTTTAAAAAGAGAAAAAAAGCAGTTGAAATGGGCTAAGTCTAAACAAGCATCAAGGATTAGAGCTGCCAAAAAAGCTTGGAAGTCTAAAAAGGAAGAAATTACCAAGAATGTGCAAGCACCTCTTGTGAAAACACTAACTGAAAAAAATAATTATATAAAACTACTGAAAGAGGGCTTGTGTGATTTGGAGCACCAGGTTGACATTTTGCAGGAAAGGTGTGACAAGACAGATGTAACTTGATGGTTAAAGCATTTGTATCCCTAAGCCTCAGTGAATCTTATTTAGATCAACATGGGAAATGGGAGAGGTGGGAGGTAGCAAAAATTTGACAAATTTAATATTTTCCTAAATTTCCCCAAAAACCTGGCACGCTGTTTAAAAGTCTATACAGTAGTAGTTCTTTATTCTTATACATGGCATATATTCCATTTACCCTCCCTTTGCTGACTTTTTAGAAATAATCAGTTTAAAAGTTTGTCCTCAAAAACTTTCACTTTAGACTTTTCCTAGATAAAATGTTCTTAGTCAAGTGTCAACACAGGTCAGTTCCGTCAGTTCCCAATGCAGTTGTTGAGGGAGTGGTATACAATGTACTATAAAGATGAGTACAAATCTGGTATTTGGGGAACACTTTTTTTATGTCATTTTGTGTAAACAAACAGCTAGTGCCATTTGTTTGGAGTCCATTAGTACATGTACGTGGGTACTTCTATTCTACACACTGTATAATGTATGTTTGTGTAATGTACCTGTGCTAATGCATTGGGGGACAACGAGCTGAGATAAAGGTAAACTTTTAGACAACCTCTTACACCGCAGAAGTTGTCTACACTGTAGAATGTACAATGTACATGTATTGTTTTAACAATAACTTAAAAGTTGTTGGTAACGTGGGAGTCACTAGATGTACTTGTATCAATTTGAAAGTGAATTGACTGTGACTAACTTGCTCATGCAGTGAAATTAAAAGCCATACATGGAGGTTGACAGAGACCATAGTAAAAGAGAAGCATGCCCATAATCTGGCAACATCAGTTGTTTTTTTTAATGCACATTGTAAGAGCCCATTCAGAACAGAAGATCCGCATATCAACTGATCCGTGGATCAATATGGCAGACGTTACATAAAAGGAAGACCACTCGATCCTGTAATAGTCTCTCTGCCTCTCACCTGAGAAAAATTAGGTGCGCATGCCCACTGGTCTTGGTTGATCAGTTTATCGTTAATACTCCCATTAGTTGGGTCATTTCATTTCATTCAACCCAGTGTCTCCATAGAAAGAATATGAAGTATATTCTTTTTGATCAGTTATTTTTGGTTTTGTTATTTATAGAATTTCATAGTTTATTTAAAGAAAGGCAGAAATTGTGATCAAGTTTCTTAATAATGATCATTGATTATAAGTGATTATTGAAATTTATCATTTTTGTATTTTAGTAAATTTAAGCATGGTGAATCACACGTAGCGAGTATGTTATTGTCATTTTTCTTTTCCTCATTTTAAGTTTTTTCGTGTCTTGTAAATTTTTGTACAAAATCCAAGATCCAGTGAAGAACATAAGCCTTTTGTTGACTTTGCTTATCTGCATATCCCTCGCATACGTACTACAATAAAAATAATAATTTTCTTTATATCACAATCCTTAATCTGAAGTGCCGAATAATAGTGCCTATCGGAATAATTGTGCCCCCCTTCAGTTGAACTTTCCGAAATTAATAATTTTGCCTGGCGAAATAATTGTGCCCCCTGGAAAAATTCCCAATATTTAACAATAGTGTCTATTGCAAAAATTGTGCCCCCTGGAAAATTTGATCAATTTTAATAATTTCAACAATTAATTGTAATGGTAATTATAAATTATATTCCAATCTGGAAAAATGTTTTGACAATTAAGCATAACAAAAACACAATATCTAAACAAATACATTTATTTTGAAGTTAATACTGTAATAATATTATTACACAAAAAGTGTACTGTGTGGCAATAAAATTGTTCACATGGAAAATGCAACACTTAAGGGCAGCAGATTTTCTCTGCAGTGTTAATAGTACTGAATGATTTAATAAACTACAGCAGATCTCTGAAAAAAATTCAACAAGTTAATAACTACATTTTGTTGAGGGACATTCTGTGTTATTCGTTTTGCATTATAGACTGAATTTTGACACTCTAAAAATAAATTCTACAAAAACTATAATACATACATTGTTCAAATTTGGCAGGAATATTGATTAGTGCAAGCCTAAACTTGTGACCAAAAAACTTGAAATAACATCTATTAGTTTTTGAGAAATATTGATTATTGATCACCATTACAGACAGAAAAAAATGGACAAGCATTTTTATAAATCAACTTCAAAACTCTGCTCTGTTTGTGGCTTTTTAAAGATAAAACTGCATTGACATGACAATTTCATTATTTTAGATACTAGAAATGTAAAAGGTTATTAATTTCTTTTTTGTTATGAAATTTTGAAGTTTTTAAGAACAAATTGTAAGTTCAAGATTTATATTTCTTAAAATAACTGCATGATCATGCATGTTCTGTAACTACTCAAACATGTCATGTCATCTGACATTGACTACTTTGGCACAATTGTCCATTAACATTTCTCAACATTAAATTTTTTACATCAGCAATAAAATGCTAGAATTTTTTTTGACTGGTAGCATATTTTGCTACCGATTCGAAGTTAGTACCAAAATGAAAGATGGCAGCAAAACTTATAAACATACACAATCTGTATGATGAATAATGTGTAGAAGTATTAAATAAATTTTACTTCCAGATCATCTTCATTTTTAATGTAACTCTTTAATATTTAAAGATAAAATCTTCATAATTTAAAGTAATTAAAACAATTAACTGTTCTTGTTGTTTAAGATTAATACCACCACCCACTTTTCTTCTATGCACGAGGTTCTGGCAGTCTCATGGGGGCCGTAGCAATAGTCCGAAGGTTCAATAGTCCGAAGGTTCATTGGTCTGAATGTTCACTATAGAACCTTCGGACCAATGAACCCTTGATTAAAAAATCGATGAAAATGTTACCACTTTTCGGGCCAATGAACCTTTGGACCAATGAACCTTCGGACTATCCAGACGCCCCCGTCTCATGTATAGTTCTTCTTGGTGTAATGCCAATGTCACAAGTCATAATTATTGAAAACTTGTCCAAAATACCAAACTTTTGCAATGAATCATCAACTTCTAAAAGAGCAGTGACCAGTGGCATTAGCATTAATGTCTTTAAGTGTAAGAAGAAACTGTGCAGGTTTCCACGTTGAAATCGTTGCACAGCTTTAAACTAAGAGAAACCCAAGCCAATCATAAATAACATAACATCATATGTGGTCAGTACTAGTATTTCACAATGAAAGTAACATGCTCAGCAAAGTAACTCACATAGAAGTCTCAAGAACCTAATTATCTGTTATGTATACACCATGTATGTCCTATTGAGTATGACTGGGATGGACCAACAGATCCATTTGGCACATGTTTGAAAATATATTTTACCATTCAAATATCACTAAAAATATAATATATACGGCTCCCGCGAAATTCCATTGTGGGGGGAACAAGTTTTCTGATGACATCCTCGGCTAGAATTTCATAATCAAATTCTTGCCCTGCGTAAGATCTTCCAGTGGCATCTTTATCAAAGTACCTACAGTACCACTCCTGTAACAACGTGACTCCAAGATGGCGTGGTGTCGTCAAGCGTCTTTATTACATAACATAAACAGGTCATACAATTAACGACATTATGATACATCTTCCTTTTTTTTTACAATAAAAAATGTTTCTAAATAAAGTATCTTATGCTTTAATCTACATTGTTTGTTCTCCTTATCTCAATAACTAAACAATGTCTTTTAACACTCTTCAATAAGTCTCTTTGGTTTAACAATGTTTCTACCACTACGAGTCTTGACATCAGGTAGAGTTACAACTTGTGGCATAACATTAACTTGTGCCTGAGAAGGACTCTGTTCCATATCAATATCTACTTCAGGCTTCAACTCAAATGGTTCTTTTGTTGAAAGTAAATCACGTCTATTCCTTCTTAATACAGTTCCATTTTCAAGTTCAACATTAAAAGAATTTGGAGAATTTTCCTCTAAAATTCTACCTTTATCACTCCAAACACCTGTATTTCTTTCTCTGTGAACTCTTACAACATCACCTTGGTGCAGAGGTTTTAACAGTTTTGCACCAACATCATAATATTTTTTATTTTTACTATTTTCCTTATTCCTCATCAAATCCTTGTTTCTATGTTCAACTACATCTGGTAATCTATTTCTAACTTTCCTTCCCATCATTATTTCTGAAGGACTATTTTCACCAGACAAAGGTGTAGTTCTATAATTCAACAGTGCTAAATATGGATCTTCAC